TCTACACTGTCACCGAATCTCCTGTTACACGAGAGAAAAGCACACTTACAACTGTAACAGTGGTCTTCACATACACAGAGGACTTGTGTTTTCCACACTTGCTGATTGCTTTTGCATTATGACCCTGCTGTTTATGCATTTCAAAAAGAAGTAATTCATTTGATAGGCAGATCTTAATCACTCACCAAAGACAATATTCAAAACAAACTCCTCATGCTCTGTATATTTGGGAGAAGAATAAATAACTGAGATGTTTGTGTAAGGAGTCTCCTTACAGTCAGTAATTGTATACAATTAATGAAAGTCTAGGGTACAACTTTAAAATTTTAAATTGCAATTTATAAACTTATATTATTTTTCAGTCACAACAGCTATATATTTGCAGACAACTTGCCCAGAGAGCAGAGTTACTAAGGTCCCACTATGTTTAATGTCTTGGAACAGGGATACTTTATACTGCTGATGAAACAATATCTGAATATATATTAGTTTGCTGTCCCGTGCAATTGCATGAATTTTACAAATGCATAATAAAATGTATTTGCTGTTACAGTTCCAGCCAGTTGTCCACTGATTAAAATTCTCTGCATTCACATCAATGCTCATGGAAAAGTTTTGTTGTTGTTGTTGTTTTGTTTGTTTGTGGCCTGATGTTTGAGTTCTAAAAACACTTAACAACACTCCATTGTATGTATGGAGCATAGCTGGACTATTCATCCCCTCTTGAACACGTTGGTTGTTTCTCATTTCTAGCTCTTTAAACATCTATGTTCAGATTTCTGTGTGAACATATCTTCCACTCAGTAAAGTAACTGCCTTGGCATATGACATCTGTGTGTTCAGTTTCTAGGAAACCGCCCAAGTGTCTTCCAAGTTGGCTGCACTTTGCGTTCCCACTACCCAGGAGGAATCTGGGCTGGGCTGCATCTTTGCCAGTGGTGTGCATGAGCTATCGGGCTTGGTCATGCTAATAGCTATGAGGGGGCCCCCAAGACCGTTCATTCTTTAGTGACAGGACATGGCACCTTTTCTCTCATTTGCTCTTTTGCTATTATTTCTTCAGATAGCTTATCTACTTTTAATGACTTTTATTATGATATTTTTGTTTAAACTTCTTTGTTCTATTAGAGATACTAAATATCATTTTGCAATAATGTATTTAAATAATAAAATTTATTGTTAAATCAAGTCTATACTCTTAAATGTAATGTAAACACTCAGTTGTTAAGATTTCTTGCTCAAGAAAGTCTTGACAGAATACCCTAAAAGTTTGTTATTTAACATTAGAAACAGGTTTGTTGTTGTTGTTGATGATGATGATTTTAGTTCTTAGTTTTAATGTGTGCAAAAAGGTATACTTGATCAAAGATAAACTTTAAATGTTCTAATTAGCCTAATCATTAAACCACTTTTTTTCATCTTCAAAATGTGTATTATCCCTACTATATTTATATGTGCTCCCCTTGAAATCTTTTGGCATAATGCTTTAAAAAGTCTTAGGAAATAAACATTAACACAGGAACAGGACATGTTTCTATGTAGTTATTGGAAATAATTTTGAAAAGGGAAGTTAAAGTACTCTAAATCATGAAGCTACTGAAGATAACAATAGGGGCTATCAATATCAAGAGTGCAGGATTAAGGGAGTACTTGTAATTCCGCAAATAGATAGTGGGAGAATTTTGTTTAAGTATAGCGACTGATCCCAGGGTTCTCCACCTCTGATTTCAAGTGTGACACAAGATTAAACAGGCAAAAAGGTGGAATGGTGGAATTCTGGAACTAGAAAGGCCTTAGTGTCCCCCTGGTGTGTAAACTAGACACTCTAAATAATGAACTCATGCTGTTACTGAAGGTGTAGTTGGCTAGGCTAGTGGGGGATATGCATGATATAAGATATTAGGTTTTACGTTTCAATTTCTCTGTCTCTTTCACTCTCGTTATAAAGGTTTGGTGCATCTACGTAATGTAGTGTGTTTCATCTCATTAGGGATGAATGAGTTAACTTGCAAACAGAAATATAGATCCACAGAAAGATATCATTTTATATTTGCCTTCTATAAGATAGCATATATACTTTTTATTTATTGTATATTAAAATGTCAAGAACAATTAAGTTATTCTGGTAGATAAAATATTATCTGTAAGTTATGTGCTTTTATATTTGCTGAGAATCTCTCAAACTCTTCTTTTAGGATGGTGGCAAAACTAAGTTTAGACAGTTAAGGATTCCACAGATTTTGAAACTATTGAAAAGAACAGCATCCCCACTCTGCCTGTGCACACACATGTGACAGTGTTAATACTTTCATTCCCAGGTTTCTTGATTTCAAAGGGCCCAGCAGACAGGGTATAGCAGACCAGACAATCAGGGTTGGTTCCCCATCATGCTTCTTAATGTTATCCCCCAAATGACTTCTAGGTCTGTTCATTTCTTAGTATGAAAATTTTCTCTTTCTTTCTTTCTTTCTTTCTTTCTTTCTTTCTTTCTTTCTTTCTTTCTTTCTTTCTTTGTTATTTTTTAAATTTTCAGGCAATTAAAAATACAGGAACTTGAGCCATTTAAAGCATAATCTCATCCCATTTGAAGCAAAAAACCTTACAATTCTTTTTCGTGTCTTTTATCCTGATAAGATTAACAGTGTTTACCACTGATTGGTGTCAAAGAGCAACAATAGCAAAAAGGTGGACAAGAGAGAGTTGGGGGAGGGTGTAGAGGAGCTTCTGGGGACAAGGTGATATGACTGGCCCTAAAAGGCATGGAGTCCACATATCACAGGACCAGTAACTGTCATCCAACAGTTACATTTTGTGGAGAATTGTTCCATGAAGGAACACCCTGCCAATATTACAGATTCATCCTCTAATTCCAGCTGACCAGGCTTTGGATCAGCATCCTCCTCTCTCAGAAACGATACTGGATTAATGGCTTCTGTGGCAGGGTCTTTAGAAGCCAAGCTCAATACATTCTTGAATAGAGTTATTCTGTTTCATAGGCATTGCAAGAAGCGTGGTGCAGTCATTACTTTCTTCAGTGTTCTCCATGGCAGGAGTGCCAGTTTAGCCCCACAGGATTCTGTTGTTCACATTGCTTCTCTTGGCACCTTCTTTAGAGAAAACAAAGTTGTTACATAAGAGCCTGAGGCGGGTGCTTGTCTCTGAATTGAGCCTGGCATGGCAGTGGCCCTCAGTGAAGATCTGCTGACTGTTGTGTGACTGTGTCAGCATCAGCATCATAACCTGTCATGAGCCTGTCAATGACGTGTAAAGTTTCCATAGCCTCTTCAGGCCAGTGTTCTCCAGAAAGCATTCTGTTTCAGAAAGTAAGGTGTTTCTACAGAAGTGCTTGAAGTTTCAGGTTCTTAATTTGTTTCCTAAAATTATAGGATTTTATGCATTTAACAACACTTCACAAATATTTCTAATACACATTCCTTTGCTTTTGCTTCTTAGATGCCAGTGTTTTAGCTGTGCATCTGTACTAGGTACCTCTAACTACTTTTGACTACAGAAAGCCCACTTCTGTTCACACACAAGACAAATTCTGACTAGGCTAATTTCACGATCACATTTTTCCTTCCCCCAACTCCTCTCAGAGCCTTCTCACCTGCCCACCCACCAACTCCATGTCCTTTTTCTCTTTTAAAAATAGACAAAAACAAGCAAGCAAACAAACCCAAGAAACACACACACACACACACACACACACACACACACACACACCCTCCACAAAACCACAAACCCAAATATACCAGCAAAAGAAAACAAACCAAAGCAAAATAAGACAAAACATCTACAAAAATACCACTGAGTTCATTTTGTGTTGGCCAGCTGCTCCAGGGGTGGGGTGTATCCTAAAGTGCGGTTTGTATACCTAGTGAGGCTCCATTGGCAATGGGTATCAATTGTAGATAGCTTTTTAGTTAGGGGTGGGAGCCCGTGTTTATTTCCTGCCTCCCAGTTGCTGGGAATCCATCTGGCTTACCTGCACAGGCCCTGTTCACAGTCTCTGCGAGTTCATATGTGTATCAGTCCTGCTGTGTCTGGAAGAAACTATTTCTTTGGAGTCATTCATCCTCTTTGGGCCTTTACAATCTTTCTACATCTTCTTCATCATAGAGCCCTGAGCCCTGAAGGGAGGGGTTTAATGAAGTATTCCAAAGTCTCTCACTTTCTGCTCATTGCCTTATAGTGATCTCTGGGTTAATGTCCATCTATTATGAGAAGCTTCTCTGATAATGGCTAAGCAAGGCTCTGATCCTCTATATCATATATAATAAAAGAAAATACTTGGTTAACATTGTAAAGTACCTATTTTGTAAAATAAATTCCACACAGATTTAAAAGTTAATTACAAAGTATACAATTTTATATTAATAGGATTTTTAATAATTAAATTTTGAATCATCTCTGTGCATTAAAATGCTGAATTGAAAATAATCATTTTAAAAGACAGTTGGTTCTATTTGCCATAATTTATAATTGCTTAAGTTGTAATTTTAAAGGTATTTCTTTTCAGTGAAGTTAAGAACTATTCCATCAGTAATAATTTTTAAGATGAATATAGCCAAACCAAAGAGCGACATTGTTAGATGTATCCTCCCTTTCTTTGTATTTCTCCACTTAGCAGCTGTCAGGCTTTGGTAGATTACTTGCTCTGTGTATCAGAATCCTCATCATACAGTGGCTGTAGCAAGGATGCCTCCCACACAGTGTGTGGTGATGACTGAACAAGTTTATACATAGGAGGGATTCTTTTACGGTATGAATTCAGCAAAAGTAGCTACATTGTCATTACAGCAGATTTGAAGTATCATTCTAGGGGATAAGTCTGAATATGTAACTATTGCTCTATAAGCAGATGTCCTTCTCTATGCAACAAAAAGTTATCAGTTTGCATTTCTGTGTTTAATGATTATTCTGATGTTTGTGGCTGTGTGTTAGGGAAGTATGTCTCCAGATTAGTGAATAATGATGTATGTTTGTGTGATTCCTTGCAGACATCATGGAAATCAGGACCGTGGCAGTTGGAATTGTGGCAATCAAAGGGGTGGAAAGTGAATACTATCTTGCCATGAACAAGGAAGGGAAACTCTATGCAAAGGTATTAATAATTGGTAATAGTTATTATGCAAACCCACTCTGCCAAAATTATCCGCCTTTCTGAAAACTGGAATTAATTTTATTCCACTAGTGCAAGTTGAATATTCCATGAAAACACTCTTTACTCCAGCACTAAGGCAAAGTATTTTCTGTATGACTTGAGATTTCTTAAGCTACCTGGATGTTAGAGTCTTCATCTGTAAGATGACTTGGAATGACTAATTTCTAGGGATCTTTCCAGTTCTAAAGCCCTTGTGCACTCTTGACACTTGGAACCTAAAATTTCCATCTCTGAGTTTAAAGCTCTTTTTGTTAGAATTCACCTGATTTGCACACTGCTGACATGAAAATTCTTGGGAAAATTTTTGAAGTATTCAGTTCACTTATCCGCATGAGTCTCCCAACCATGGGCTTTGCACTATAAACATTCACATCGTTTGCACTTTAGTATGATGGGAAATGTGACAGTTCATCCCACTGTAGGAGAGCAAAGGTCATTTTCCTTTGTATTCTTGTAGCTCTGCATAATGCCTGCACAGGCAAAGTATAGAACAGAGGCTCAATCAAATGAGCATACATCCCTGCATGGACGAACAAACTAAGTAACTGTTTACTTTTGTTACAATTGAGGGCAACATAGTAGAAAGTGAAGTTTATTAAATAGTCCCTCACCTGCAGGAGGTAGGAGCTACCTCCTCTACAATAAATATCCGGTAGGTAGAGAATGATTTGCACACTCCAACATTAAAGAGTAGAAATTTACTACCCAAAGAGGCATAGCTAAATGTGTTTTACATTATTATTTTTTTGTTAAGATGCTTTTGGCCTATGGCAATACATGCCATAAGTAAACTACTAAACTGTATCAGGTCTGCTCAGTCTGAGGCTTAAAATAAATCACATGTACATCACCTCTACAGACCATCGTCTGCTTGCTGTTAGTTTGAGCCTCCTCCAGAATTACTCGTTTTAATAATTGTGTTTATTTTTTGGCTTGTTTTTATCAGAAAGAATGCAATGAGGATTGCAACTTCAAAGAACTGATTCTGGAAAACCATTATAACACCTATGCATCAGCTAAATGGACACACAGCGGAGGGGAAATGTTTGTTGCCTTAAATCAAAAGGGGATTCCTGTCAAAGGGAAGAAAACGAAGAAAGAACAAAAAACGGCCCATTTTCTTCCTATGGCAATAACCTAAGTGTACGTGGTGTTTGAGAAACCAGTTTCATTCAGCAGGGAGATTTCTTGAGATTTCTTTCCAGTGGACTTTTCTTCTCTCTCTCTCTCTCTCTCTCTCTCTCTCTCTCTCTCTCTCTGTCTCTCAGAAACCAAGAAAGGCTGGAAAACTACTGAAAAACTGATCAAGCTGGACTTGCGCATTTTTGTTTATTTTAAGAGACTGCATTAAAGAAAGATTTGAAGAATATACACAAGAATCAGATTTAGTAAAAGTTGTAAAAAGTTGTAAAAGTGATTGTACAATCATGATGTTAGTGACGTGATATTTTTCTTAAATTAATTTACCCTTAAGAGTATGTTAGATTTGACTATCTGATAATGAATATTTAATATCACTCTCTGCTTATAAAATGGCTGCTATAATGATATTAATAATGCAGATGATGTTAGATAAGGTACGTCAGACCTAACGGCTGCTGGGCTGCTTTGTCAGATGATTAAGCCACACAAACTGTAGACGATGAGCTTTCCAGTAAGAACTATAATCCACTTCAGCTCTATTCAGAAGAATGAATGTTCTCAACATTTTATTATAGAATAGAATCTACAGGTGGTTTTACAAAATTACAGGCTTGGAACATGCCTGTACTGATTAACATGAAAAAAAGTCCACTCAAATTGAAAAGGTATTGTTAACAGGACGTTTTAAAAATCTGTATATAAAATAGCAATAATGATGATAATACTGTATTTCATCTCACCACAAAATAACATTTTATAATCCCTAAAAATAAATTTCAGAAACCTTTACATTTTTTTCAAGTAACATCTATCTTTTGTATAATTCACATTTGGGAACACGACTTTTAGTAACGCTCTTCCCACAAATAATCATGCTTATTTCCCCTCTGTGATTACAGCATTAAACTCTACTTTAAGTTGTATTTGAATTTTATTGTTTTGTTATTTAAGTTTATGTTATTTATAAAGAAAAAACCTTAAGAAGCTCTATCTGTTTCATATGCTTTTAATTTCAAGGGAACAACAAACCCGTCTGGCTGCACTGCAGATGTCTCCTCCCCTGGTGGCTGACACCAAGTCTAGCACACAACACTTGGCTAGCAAGTGCTGGATGGTAGACAAAGACGACAGCCTGCAGCCATGCTTATAATAGATGTCCCACAGCAGACAATACAAATATGTGGGAGAGATTTTACACAATGCTCATGCCAATGACTTTGGATCATATAAGTAAAAGAAATTCAAGTATTTAGTGAGAATGTATTTTTGAAAACAGGCATATTTAAAGTTAGCAATTTGATAATCTTTAGAAGTTTCTGCCATATAAAATATGCCAACATTGAAATGGTAAGAGTAAAACCCCAATAGAGGTTGTAGTCAGTGTATGGGGCCCCAAACATCTTGAGGCTTCAGGTCAGGCCACAGATAACAGGCTTAATAAATAGATGAATACTTACTCCATAGTTCTGCCACCAGTAGATGCTGACAAAATTTATGTAAGCTTATGAAGGGAAGGGCAACATTTATTTAAATTGTTGGTATATTAATTAATGTGATATCAATTTCATAGTGCTTGTTATGAAAGTTTATATTACATACAACACTATTTGATAATTTGTTTATATATGAGGTTATATGATAAAGCCTTGTCAACAAAAAAGGATCAATTAACTTTCTTGTGTTTGCCCAGGCATCCAGGCTACTGGAAGGTCAGAACTGTTGCCCTTCACCATGTACACTGAAGGACAGACACATCAAGAGGGAATATTCTGTATTAGCATCCAATTCAAGGATGTTTGTAATCTAGCTTTCTAGCCTAGGCTAGAGTCTTGTAAGCATAGCAAGGGTAGGAGAAGACTATGTTTTTCATAGTTGTTTTATAGGTGCCTAGCTGAATGCCAGTCCATAACCAACAAATACATATATATGTATATGTATTGTATATGTGTATGTGTATATATCTCCATTCAATAGTATTTTCCAAGGAAAAGATGAAATGCAATTATTCTTAAAGTCCAAAATCTCAAAGCAAAGCAGCGTAATCCTGTAGAAGTTTAAATAGAAGTAGTAACCACACATAGAAGGTGGCTATAGTTACCATCAAATTAGTTACTAAGAAAAAGCCATTAGAGTATTGAACTTGAATTAGATAGAACCAATATTGGGTAGTAAAACCAATAGTATGTCTTAGTGACATAAGTCATTTACAAAATCTGCCCACAAACATTAATTTTTTTAAAAAAGTTTCATTGTTATTTTTAAATTATGTACCCTTGTCTATGTGTTTATAGGTATGCAAATATGAGTGTGGAGAGTCTTGGAGCAGAGGGTTCTAGGAACTGAACTTGGGTTCCTTGCAAGAGCAGCATGACCCATCTCGCTTGGCCCAGTGCCTGTTTTTAACACGTAAATTTCAAAAAATCTGCTTTAGTCAAAAACATTTAGAATTCTAGAGTCTTGGAAGTCTATGAGGCCTTTCATCTTTCTTCTCTTTCATATCAGTAAACTGAAATGAGCACATACTAGGTGCTGGATGAATGCAGCTTGCCTTGGAGTCTCAGTCACTTAGCTTTGTGTCTTACTCTCAGACTGTCAGTGATCTCTTTGTTTTGCTTGACTTTAATTTCTATCAAGATGTCATCTTTTCATATGAGAATACTTGTGGCTTACTTGTTATTTCACTCAGTACAGAATGATACCATTATGATTTGACTCTAAAGGAGAAAGGAATGTGATTTCCAATTCTGACTCCTAAGCAACTTTTATGTGAACTTCTTTATTTATCAATGAAAAGTATCACATAAGACATTTTCATAATCAGAATTTTCCTTTCTAAAGTGTTCTTTAAAAAGAAAACCATATCAACTCATGGGTTTCCCCAAACTGGTAAAGGACTAAGTAAAAGAATATCACTTGTTAACACAATAAGTAGAATGATACTTTCAGTACAAGTGAACTAAAACACTCCAACAGACAAGCTGTAAGTCCTTTGCGTTGTTATAAATTCAACTCAGATATGAAAGAGAAGGAAGGCTAGAGGTTCTATCACTTACAGGGTTTCTTTCTAGTTTCTAGGGTGTCAAAAACACGAAGAGTGATTACTCTGACCCATGATCTCCAAATGTTCAGTTACAGTGTAGAATGAAATCCTAAGAAATCAGATAAAGATAGCTTTCCAAGGTGGCTCTGCTGACCCTGGTAGTGAGGGCACAGGTGAGCCTCAGAGGGTGTAATCATGAGAAAGCTGGCCCCATCCCCACAGGCTTCAGCATTCGGGAGAGCTGGCCCTGCACCTCAACTGGGCAACACAATAAGAACTAGCTTTGGTGGTGTGGGTGCAGGAGAGCTGGCCCTGAAGGCATGAAGGCAGAAGAGCCAGCCCTGTTCCTTGTCAGCTGCAGCATTGGGTGAGCTAGCTGGGGGAGTACTGGGGAACTCACTCTGGTGGTGTGATGGTGAGTTCAGGAGAGCTGCCAGGCTGACCAACTCAGCTACCATCCAGGCCCAGATTCGGGGGTTTAAGTTGGCCCACGCTAACATCTACCTCACGTATGAACTGCTGGAGCATGTGAAAGGGCCAGTCCTGTGGGTCCAAAACTGCAGGATCTCCATGACACAGGGCAATGACAGGATGTGTGCGAGGAGTCCCGGTGAGGATCCAGCACTGATGGTGCAGCAGAAGCCAGAGGCCTCGAACCAATCCGATGACTCACTGCAGTGAACATTTCCGAGTAAAGATGTGTGGACAAAAGGGTGTGCTGCGACACACTATGACACACTGAACCTTCCGTGACAGTATTTTGGTTTTGGTTTTTTATTATTTCTTTTTATTTTTTATTTTTGGAGGGGAGGTGGCAAGGGCAGAAAGGATGAAGAGATGAGTGGGGTTGGAACGGATGTGAAATTGACAAAGGGTCAATACGAAGTGAAAGAAAAAAAGGTAGCTCTCCAGAGACAGAACTCTTTAAATTTAAGTTTAAAATCTTGCAGTTCATGTGAGTTTTGTCTCTTACTCTGGTAATACTTGTATTTGCTTTAATATGAAAATGTCTCCAGTTGACACCAGTGAACCAAACTTAAGTTTTCAGTGGCTATCTGAGACTTACTGCAAAGCTTCTCTCTCACCTTTACCCTGTGTCACATGGATGAGACAAATGAGTTTCTATCTTTCATCGTTCAACTTCACATACAAATAATACAGGCATAAACAAACAAAAATTAAGTAAGATCATTTTGTAAAATTGTGATCTTAAAAATATTTAACACCTAGTGCAGATGGTTATTAGTCAGTCAAAATACTTAATTGATTCTAATGCTGGGGAGAGACAGAGAGAGGCAGATTCCTGGTGTCTTCCTGCCAGCCAGTCTGCACAACAGGTGAGCTACAGTCCCAGAGAGAGACCCTATTTCAAAAAATAAGGTGGAGAGTGCTACAGGAAGACACTAAACCTCAGGCTTGTGTGTGCGTGCGTGTGTGTGTATACAATGGGTCTATATGAACATCAGATTATTACCATGTGTGGCCATTTCTAAGATAACCTTAAAGCAGATGGTTAGAGCTCTGAGAGTGTTCTTTCTATGGAGCAGCTTGTTAAAGCTTCTCTTTCAGTGGTACTGTTAAGGCCTCACGTGCAGCTCTTTCAGTGGTATTGTCAGGTTACTCTTTGGTTATTCTACCACAGTCAACAAAACTTGAGTATTCAATGGCAGTGGCTTAGTCCATCACACTCTCATGTGCTCTCCAATTTTGAAAACTTTATCGACTTATTTTCTCTTGAATTGAGACTTGACAGGAAGCAAGAAATAATAAAATCCTACTATCTTACTAACACTGTGACTTCTTTATAAAGCAACACATCCCAAGGAGCCAGATAATTCCTCTCATGAGAAGGTATCTCTTAGTTTCCCATTTGCTTTCTAGCTGTGACAGTCCAATCTCCCAAATCACCATCCTGAGTCTTCTGAAAGCTTATGCCATTATATAAACAGAAATTATTCCTTTTTCTATCTGGATGCAGCTACATATTTGTTATTGTAGTGTATAACATGAAAATTTAATAACCTAACACTTTCATCTTATACTTATCTGGGTGCCCTGTCTGCAAGCCCTCATAAAGTTGTAATCAAGGTATTAACCAGGAAGCCACTGATCTCAATACTCGGTCCTGAGGGAAATCCAGAACTACCCTTCACTGGCTGTAGCTGTGAATATCAGCTCCTTATTATGGCCTCTTCATAGCCCTGTTTCTCAAAAGAAGATTATTTCCTACAAAACAGTGAATCAGAGAATCAAATTTCCTGAATAGAAGCCATAGTTTTAAGAAACAATCTCCAGTGATCCTGTTTCTCTAACTGGGCTGCCTTGTCTGGCCTCAATTGGAGAGGATGCACCTACTCCTGCAGTGATTTGATGTTCTGGGGCAGGGTGGTGGTGTGGGGTGATACCTAGAGGGGGCTCCCCTTTTCAAAGGAGAAGGGGAATGAGGAATGGGGGGAATGAGAGGGGGTGATATTAGGATATACAGTGAATAAACAAATTTAATAAACATTATAAAAGGAACAATCTTCAGCATGATGCTACTTCTGTACATACACAAGGGGAGGTATTACCCCTTCAGTACACACTAGAAAGGGTGGCCATTGTAAAGTGTCTACTGCAAGTCATTCATTAGATGACCATTTAAGGCTTTACTATAAACCCACACGCTTTACAGTCTAATAAGACCAATTCAAGGCATTCATAGAGAAACAGATGAAGCAGGCATATTTCCTGTGGAAAATTGGTCCTTTCTTTCACAGGAAAATGAGAGAAGGCTTGGATTATACCTGTTTTTTTTTAGCCTGCATTGTGCTTTCGTAGGTCTAACATGGGAGGAAACTGAAAATGTCACCTGGCCTCCAAAGAAGGACATCATCATGTCTTGAGACTCAACCTGAAAAGAATTCTCCTCTTAACTTCACTACCTTAAGAGAATAAGATCATAGATGTCATTTGAATTTCCTTTAAGGCATTAAGAGTTTTGTCCCAGAGCACAGAGGCGCTTAGGCATTCATAGTTGTTCATGACCATCTAAGTCAGTGGTTCTCTGCTCCTTTAGGTTGAATGACCTGTTCACAGGGGTCACCTATGACCATCGAGAATACAGATATTAAAATTATGATTCATAGCAGTAGCAAAATTACAGTTATGAAGTAGCAACAAAATAATTTTGTGGTTGGAGTTCACTACAACATGAGGAGCTGTATTAAAGGGAGCAGTAGGAAGATTGAGAACTACTATTTTAAACAAAACAAAACCTAAAAAGAACCAAAAGCTATTGGTTTCCATGCAGGATGTGCACTGGAGTCACCTTCGGGAGTTTACTTCTCCTCTTGAGACAATGAGGCACAGGCTTCTTCCTAGGTCAGCTCTATCAGTGAATATAGAATGGGGTATGGGAGATGTCATTTTTATATTCCCCAGAAATCTCTAATGCTCTTGTTGCAATGAGAACTAACAAGACACGAGTTAAAAACCAAAGTAAACTCCTTTCTAACCTAGTCCTGGCTCATTGCCTCCTCTAACACAGTGACAGGTCTTACTCCTTGCCTGCCCAGGTTTCCACCATGTTTCTATTTACAGTTAACACCAGAAGAAACACCAACAAAAGAAGGAGCTGTCATCATTCTGACAATGAAGTCCTTATGGAATATAAGGTACATAAAAGTCCATTCTCAAAAAGAACATGCATTAGATATGATAAAATCCCTCTTTTCAAATTTGTGATTGGTTTCCACACCACACAGAATACAATCTTAAATTGCATGGAGGTCATCATGGTGGCAGTGCAACAAAGGTAGAAAATGTTGCTGTTGGTTAGGCAGGACAAGACAACAGGCAAAACACTATAAATCCATAAGCATGTATCTGGATTGCTGAGCAGAAACTGTCTAGTTCATTAAAAATACCAAAATGGCTTAGGTCTTTTGGGACTCCTGAACCCTAATGGCTATATCTTTTTCAAGGTTAGGAATGTCTAGGGTTATTGTTTTACACATATTTCACACTTTCCTTCTTCTAAGACCCCCAAGCCTCAGATATTTGTTTGTGTAATGGTGCCCACATGTCTCCGGTTTTATTTTTGCTTTTGATGATGTTCTTTGTCTTTCCTCTTTTTTCTTCTATTTTCTGTTTTTTCTTTCATCTGATTGGAATATTCAAAAAAGCTGTCTTCAAGTGCAGTTTTTTTTTCTGCTTTAGACTACACTGTTAAGTCTCTCAGCTGTATTTTTATTTGGCTTGCTAAGTCCTTCAGTTCCAAGGTTTCTATTTGGTTCTTCTACATGCTACTCTGGAGATCTCTCCTTCTAATTAGTGGAAATTTTTCTTATTTAATTTTCTCTTTGTAGTTGCTCATGTTTCACTGACTTTGCTTAGAATCAATCCTTTGAATATCTTATCAGGCACCTCATCAAGTTTCTCTTTTTTTTTTACTTTGAGTTTAGTTGCCAGAAAGTTATTATGGGCTATCTGTTGATAACATGTCTGGGAAAGTTCTTTCTAGGCATGTCACCACGATCATATAAAATACTCTTACCTTCTCCTGTGCAAGGGTCAGTGTCTCATGTCTGTCACTTACACCTGGTTTTAAAAAGTACATTTGCAAACAAGCACAGCAGCTATTATGTCTACCCTCTGATCAAGTGCTGCGAGCCACAGTGAGAAAGCATGCAGCACTTCTGCTCCAGGGCAGCAAAGACAGAACCATTAGCAAGCATTTGAAGCAGTTTGCTCGATGGTGCTCTCTGCTTCAAAGAATGTCTCTTAGGCCCAGAACTTCTTGTTGATAGGCTTTCACAAGATCATCTCATATTGCCCAAGTTTTCCCCCTCCTCAGTTCTCTTCTCTATCAGTGTGTTGCTAGACAACAATTATTCTTACAATTTTACTTCAAATGTTGTTGGCTAGTGATGCTCATTATTTAGTGTTGATGTGTTTTATACAGTACGTACTGTATATATCACTGACTTCACTATTAATTTGTCCAGTGTTTATGATGTTTCCCAGTGATGAAAAGAGGAAAGTGTTGGCTTCATGATAGAGAAAACCCAGTCAGCTATATCCATTAACTCTAAAAATAATATTAAAAAAGTATACTGGTGCTGGAGAGTGGTTAAAAAGAATACAGAGGCTGCTCACTGGTTAAAAATAATTGCTGCTCTTGCAGAGGACACCCACACTGGACAGTTCACAACTTTATGAAACTAGCTCCAGAGGATTTGATGTCCTCTTCAAGGCCTCTGTAGGCATGGTGGCTCATAATTTTAACTCCAGCACCCAGCAAAGGCAAAAGCAGGCAGACCTCTGAGTTAAACGACAGCCTGCTCTATGTAGCTAGTTCCAGTATGCAGGGCTACATAGTAAGGTCCTGTCTCAAAAATACTTTTAAATTTTTGAAATTTTAGGGGACTGGAGAGATGGGTTGGTGGTTAAGAGCACTGGCTGCTCTTCTAGAGGGTCTAGGATCAATTTGCACACCTATACCGGGTCTCACAACTGTCTGTAACTCCAGTTCTAGGAGTCCCTTAGGGCACCAGGCATGCATTTGGTACTTATACATACATGCAGAAAAAAACCCCACTGATAACACATAAAATAAAAGCAAACTATAAAAAGGTTAAATTTTTCTTTTACAGAGCTGTATTTTTCGTAATCTATTACCATTGTGAATTATCTTCTGCATGTTTATGTATTATCTACGTTGATATAGATTGTCTTAATTATCTGAGAGAATTGTAGATATGATTTTAAATATTTTTATGTTTACATTATTTAAAAATATTGAACCACATTTAAAAATATTTTATATATAATGTTTTGCTAAAATCCATAATTTTATTCTCTCCCTTCACCCTACTCACCAAAACGTTTTCATTCCAACATTACCTGATCCCTCTTTAAATAACCACAGAGTGCATCTAGTGCTGCCTGTAAGTCCATGGGTGCATGGGCCTGGGATCATCTGCTGGCCACACCCCTGAAGAAACCTGACACTGCCTTCCCCAGGAGCCCTCAGTTGCCAATATCCTCTCCTATAGCTCCTCACTATTCCTGCTGGAATTTTGGCTAGCTTGATCTTGTGCAAGTCTTGGGCACACAGTCCTAGTCACTGTGAGTTCATGAATGAGATACATTTCATGCCAGACATCTCCTCTCTTTGGCTCTTGGGATCTTTCCTCCCCATCTTCCATGATGCTGCTGAGCTTTGAGTGAGGCATGACACAGATATCTCATTTAGAGCTTGCCACAGGCTCTTGCTCTCAGCATGCTGACTGCTTGTGGGTCACTGTATTAATCACTATCTATTGCAAAGAGAATATGCCAGAAGAGAAGCACAGCTAGTTCTGGCCTATCTTCTTCCAGTTAGATATTTGTTAAGCATCAAAAAAATGAATGTTATAAAAATTCATATTATAAAAAAATCCTATTATCCCCAAAATCTGTAAAATGGAAGAAACATTGAAAAATTTTGATGGACAAATAAATGGACAATAGGAATGCACACAGAGAGTCTTGATGGACTTCTTTAACTCTCCAGTGGCAAAACTTACCTGGAAAGGGAACGCTGTGTAGAAGTGTGAGATGACAGCAGCTGCCCGATTTGAAGGAACTCTGCTTTCATATCACTTACCTGGTAGAATGGCAGATTCTTGCTAGCGCTACAGCACAATATTTAAAAAGCATATCTTTTGTGCCTTGACTTCTAGCATATAGGATCCTTTCTGGTTTATGTATGGCATTCTAGAAAGCTTACTAAAGGATATCAGTAGCAAACAAGCAATTTCCTATAATTACTAATGGATAGGAATCATGTGTTGTGATAATTTATACAGCTAAGAGTAGGAAGCCATGTCTCCATTTGTGATCAATCACTTCCAAGTGTACAGATCTGAAAAGCTGTAATGAACTAGTTAAATAATTGTAGCATCACACATTAGTCAAGAAGTAGACGAAAGGTCAGCCCTTCTTGCCTGGCACATCTAAAGGAAACACTGGACGGCAGTTCTCTCCACATCGTGCTCAATTGAAAAGCCTTCGTTCTGATCGAGCTGGTCAGAAATGAAACCTGGATATCAAGGCTGTGTTTGGTAAGTCAAAGTATAAATAGGAGAGAAATTAACTTGCCTTTAAAAGTTCATTAATTGAGAGTAGTTATAGGAGTTTTGATTTTTGTATAGCAGTTTGAGGCACAGAATTCAAGACAGGAAAAAATACAAAGATATATCAAAGTAAATTGATATTTCAACTTTCCTATTTAATAAATTCGTCATTTTGAAAAGAAAAGGTGGGGGAAATAATCATATTCCTTATCACAAAATAAATTCCAAATAGATTCAGTCAGTCAGTCAAATATAGAAGCAAGAAGAAAGCACTTAGGAAAAAAAATCACAGGTAAGCAGTTTGATATCCTTATTAAGACTTGACAAAATGCAACAAGACTTAAACTCTAATGAAAATATGATTTGAGTGTACCAAATAAAAAGTTTAAACTTCTCTGTTGCAAGACACATTGCCATCTAGTTAGCCACACAGCCTAAGTGAGAACATCCGTACGTAGTCCTAAAAATTGACATAAGCCTGTTCCAGCAGTGGACAGGAAAAAACCTTAAGACACACTATGACAGCAATTTGTAGATCAAACAACATTCTAGGATCATCCCTAAATTGAATTGAATTAGAAAAACAGACAAATAACTGGCCTAGCATACTTGATGGTAGCTACCTGCTCACACCTAAGCTGTCACATTACTTACAGGCTGATGTGTGCTCCTGGTCAGAAATGATACTCTTTTTCAAGTTCACAGGTACACGCCTGCTGCCATGAATGGCAGTTGTGCAGAGGTCTGGCAGTTTCCAGTGGGTCCAAAAGCCAGTGTCAGGTTTTAGACCTGTTAATGTAATGTGCATAATTAGCCAATCAGATTTTGACCAACAAAGGAGAATTTTCTACATCTCTGTAGATATAGCTACCAGTTGTTTTTTTTAATTATTAGTTTCCATTGCATAAAATATAATGCTTTGTACTTCATTTGCTTAGTGTTCTTGACAGATTTCCTATGTTTTAAAATATTAGGTATGAATGTTGTATAGCAAGGCCAACAGGTAGCTGATTAAGGTAGGGTTGTTTATCTTTCTGCGCTCTCAAGAGAAGAATGCCATACTGCAGAGGACCATATCAGGAAGAATGACACTGGCCAGGAGAAAACAGCACCAAGGTGACAGCAACTGCTTTGTTACTATTTTTTTTTTTTTTAGGGAATCATTCAATTATTCCAGCAAGTTCCAGGGTTCAAGGCTCACCCACCCCAGTTGCTTGGCTTCTAGGATGTAAGAATTTGGGGTAAGAATTCAGTAAAGGAGAGGGTGGTTGTAGCCAGGGCTCTAGGTTGGTTCGTTTATATTTAATAATTATCCCTGTAACTATTTGCTGTATCTAGAAACGGTCTGACCCCAAAAAGGGTACAATCCTCAGGTGTTAAAATATAAAATGTAAAATATACAATTAATGGTTAATGCAGTCTAGTGGTAAACTACTCTTCTGTTTCTGGGATAAACTACCATGTATGTGCATGTGTGTGTGCGTGTGTGCATGTGCATGTGTGTGTGTGTGTGTGTGTGCGCGCATGTGCATGTGTGCGTGTGCGTGTGTGTGTGTGTAAAATGTAGAAGGAATTAGTGTGTTGATTCTTCTCCAAAGCAGATGTGCTCTCATCTGAACATCTTTCACTAGATTTAACAGACAGACATTATCCCGGAAGTTCCTTTCTCTGTTATATTGAGAACTGACACTCTCTCGAATTAGATCCGTTGCTTCTTGAATTTCATTTCCTCTTTCTTAGTTTATCTGATATTTTGTTGGGTATCTGTACAATAGCTTCATAAGAAAAAGGTGAATTCAAAGTAACTTTCTTAAAATGATTTGCACATCTGAAAAGTGCCCGGACTTCATTCTTAGCCTCACTTGACAGTTTGTTTGGGTTTAAGTTATGAGTAATTTCCACTCCAAGTTGCTAAGTTGTTACTGTATCCCAGCATTCAGAGCTGCTCACCAGCAGCTTACTGACATTCTGTTTTGATCTCTCTGTTTTCTGGAAGTTTTGAGCATTTGTTTGTTTGTTTGTTTTCAAGGTTTTGAGAGTTCACAGTAAAATCTGCAACACTCTGGGGTTTTTATTCCATTCCTTGTCCTAATGTCTTCCAAAATAGAAAGTCAAGTCTTTTAAAATATGAGAATTTTAAAATGTACCTTTTCTGGATTTTTTTTTTGCTATTCTCTTTTTGAATATAATATAGAAACTGAATCTAAAAATAGAAGAGATGAAGGATCAGTTTTTCCACATGAAGATAGATGTTAGATCATGGCGGTTTTTTCCAGCTTTCTCCTCCTCCTTGTCGTCGACATTGTCCTCCTCCTCCTCCTCCTCCTCCTCCTCCTCCTCCTCTCCCTCCTCCTCCTCCTCTCCCTCCTCTTCTTCCTCCTCCTCCTCTTCCCCTTCCCCTTCCTCCTTATTCTTCTGTCTTCTCCTCCTTCTCTTCTTCCTCCTCCTCCTCTTCCTCTTTTTCCTCTCCTTCCTCTTCCTCTTCCTTTTCTTCTTTAGAATATACATCAAAGGCCAGAAATTACCCCCATAGGAATTTGCTCTCCTATATTTTTTGATATTTAGTTTTGTTTTTAACTCTGGTCAGTTATTTTCTAATTTCCTTTACATTATTTTTCTTGAGCAGTGGATTATTTAAGTATATATTTCTTTTGTTTTTGAATTTGGAAATATTTATGGGGTACATTATCATAACTCAATACATGTATACAATATATAATAAATCATGATTAAAAACATTTTTTCTAATCAACTGTTAATTTTATATGTTGAGAATTTCATATTTTTCTAGTAATTTTGAAATAGATAATATGTTGTTTTAACCAGTAGTTTCTCTACTGAGTCCAGGAGGAATTAGATATGACTTCTTCATTCTGGTTTTGATGCTCCTGATTCAGCCCCTCTCTACCCTTACCAGACTTTTGTCACCATCATTCTATTGTGTTGCTCCAAAGACATTGTAAATGGATGAGAACATATAGCATTTGTTGTTCTATATCTGGCTTGTTTCAATAACCTATTGACTTCAAGTTCCCTCTGTGCTGCTGCAAATGGCAGCATTTCATTTTTGAAAGGATGGCTGTGATTCTTTTATAGATTCTTTTTATAACTACATGACATTTTTATTATCCATTCATCCATTGGGGTTCATCATGATTGATGTGTTACTTCAGCTATTGTGAAATTGGGCACATATTTCTTATTTTCTATATGCATAAAGGCATTTTGACTTGGTCATGTGTATAATTTATTGCCTTCTATCCAAAGACTCAACATGCTCTGCTTAATTTATAGCCCGTGTGAGTACAAACATTTAATTTTTTTGGCTTACTATAGAGAGAGATTTTATAAATGCTTTCTGTATTTGAAAGTAATCTTCATCTTTCATCTTCAGTGTTATGTATAGTCATTACTCCACACTGTTCATCATGGTGCTATACCTTTCCCTGGTTTGGGTTTTTGCTTGTTTCTTCTCTCAATCACTAGGAGAGCTGTCTATTTTTTCTGAATTATTACAGCAGCTATGCCAATAACTTGGTTCATGTAAATGATTTGGTTTTGCATTTTGTTAGAATATTTCATCTATTTTATTTATTTTGGACTACATCCCAGCATGTAGCCCTCCTACCTTAAACTTGAGATCTTTCTGCTGGGACACGCATGTGCTGGGATTGCAGGAATGACACAATTGCTCATTTCTGCTGGGACACACACATGCTGAGACTGCAGGCAGTACACAGTTGCTCACTTGACTTGCCAACTTTTCAATAGGAGGGATTTTCTTTCTTTTGTTAGTTTTCCCCTCTGAGTTTTATTAATATTTCTTCTAGGCATTGCTTGCTTTTCCATCCCATTAGAATAGTTTCTGAATAGACAAAAATTTAATTATGATAAAATCTAATTTACCAAGATTTTCATTTATAAGTTAAGATTTTTGATTCACATCTGAGAAACTATGTCCCAATCTAAGGTGCAAATTTTTCTGTCTATGCTTTTGCTGCTAACATTCCTTTCCTGGGTGATACATATGGTGTGTCTAAGGGCCTTTGAAAAGGTCTGTCAACAAGCTAAGGTAGGACTCTACCAAAATTCACTCAGGGGACTAAAGGATGTATCAGGTTTGCTTACAGAGCAATGGGTGAGCAGTTATAAACGGAAGAGTGGGTGACCTTAAAGCAGCCCCATGGGAAGGTTTGCACCCAACAATGATGATGGCTTCTCCCTGGCTGCATAGGGGGGACGCCCCTCCCCTCATCATTTCCTATCTGTATCTTCTAGCTCCTCCCCCAGATCCCCAAGGCCTCATGCAATTAGGGCAGAATTGCATATGGCAGATTGGGAAGGGTGTCTGAGGACTTAGCTAAGTATCTCATAACCCTAGCCATCCCCTTCTTTTAGGAAGTAAGGTTAAATAGTCACCAGGCTCAGCTATCATGGGCTACCGTGATCAGGCACCGTAGAACTCCTGAACAAGGTAGCAATTTAGGCCCATCTGATCTAAGGTATAATGCAAGCATGGCATTTCCCTGTTAATCTTTTGTCTGGCTGTAATACACAGTGTTAGAAGTGCTGTCTTTTCACATTCATTAATATTTGATTTATGTATTTAGAGGTTTTGAGTTTGGTTATTATGTTCTGTTGATACACTCACCTCTTTTGTCTTCTGCTTTATCTGATGTAAGTGTAGCCAACTCTGCTCCCTTTGCCTGCATTCACACAGATATGTTCAATCCTGCTTTCAGCAGTCTGTCCACAAAGCTGAAGAGGGTGTGTCATAGGTAGCATAAGCTAGAGTCTTATTATTCGCTCCTTTTCCTCCTTTTCTTCTTTCTTTTAAAAGCCACTGTGTGTGTGTTCTGAATGGAGAATGCAATCAACTTATAGGCAAAGTAACTTTCAGCAGGAAAGGTCTTATGCCCATTGTTTGTTAATAAACTATTTTTTTTCTATTCTTGGGAAACGAGATGAGGAGTGCTGCAGTTTGCACCAGGACAAGGGGGAAAGTGCCTTGACAGGTAGGCAAGACTCTATCTATTTAAGGTTCTAGCTTGTAAAAATGAAACTCATTTGAGAGAGCACAAACAGAGAATGACACCTCAGTTTTCTGCTCAAAATGATCAATTAAGAAAGTGTTTTTCCAGCCACAAAAGCAGAGACCACAGTAGGTATGGCAGAAGGGAGCCAGTCTACATCATAACTGTCAGTAGCACGTGGAGTGAGTATCCACAAGGGACTGGTTCTTTAGGATGCAAGATTCAAGAGTGAGGGAGGGGTCATGGAAACTTGTGCTGTGTCCCAGAAAGCTACTGAGGCAGCTTGTGTGCTACTGTGTGGCAGGTTGGATTCCTTGCAAGGAGACTCCAAGAGACAATCACACAAAACTGTGAAGATGAAGCCTAAGCCGCAGCAGAGATGCTGGGATGTTAGCAGTGCTGAAATGTTAGGTGTTTGCTTAGGAAAGCTGCGAGGAGTCAACTCAAGAGAGGGGCCACATGCACCACAGATAAGATAGAAGAGTGGGGCTAGTCAAGGCTGCTGGAGAACAGATGATGTCAGATAGAGAAGTGCAGCATTTTCCCTGAGTAGCTTTAGTATTGCTTTTGCACGATCATTCTCACTGTGCCATCATTCTTCCCTTGAGGGAGGGGACATTCGTGCCATTATATGTTGGATGCACGTAACTATTGTTTCATTTTATAAGGGCTCCAAGTCTTAAGAGGTTTTAAACTGTGGACTTTGAAGAATTCTGGAAGTATATGACTAGGGAAAACCTTTGTGGTTGAACAGAATGCATTATCATATTAAGAGATAGCCATGATTCTATGGGAGGTAGGGGCAGAATTTCATAGGGTGAATATATACTGTCCCTTCAGGCTGACATCTTTGAATACTTAGTCCCTAGCTGGTAGTACTATCTTAGGAGGTAGAATCTGTAAGAAATGAGGCCTGGCTGGTGTAAGTAAGTGGCTGGGGGTGAACTTACAAGCCTGTGCCTTTCCCTGCTTCTGTCTTCTCACTCTGATGACCAGCAACAAGCTTCTTCATCAAGCCCAGGGCCTCAGCCACCATGTATTCTGTCACTGTGAAACCATGTGCTAAAATAAATCCGTACTCCTGGAAGTTGTTCACTGTTCAGGATTTCGTCCTTGTGAGGGACGCACTATGCCTTCAACTTTGCAGGTGACATTCCTTAAAGCATTTATTGTGAGCCAGGTCTTTGGGTGACAAAGGACCTCGGTATTGCTTGTCTTTAAAGAGCTATTTCTCCATTATTGCAGGACAGTGTTGCCAAGTAAACTCTTCTTGGTTGAATTTTTTTCAATTGCTTGAAATTTATCACCCCTTTCTTAGCAAACAGACTTCTTTTGAGAAGCTTCTGGAGTCCAGTGGAGATTTCCTTGTATTTGATACATTGTTTCACTCTTGATCTTCATTGGCTTGGGTCAGCGGTTAGTGGACCTTTGAGATTCATGCATATACAAGTGTAAGAAGACTTGGCATGTTTTCCGTAACCATTTCATTGAATATTTTCTTCTCCTGTATCCCCCTTCTCAAACTTGAACTGTGATCATGTAAAAATTTTCTCTCCTTGTGCTCTCTTGAATCTCACTGCATTTCTGTAAGGTGATCATCTGTACTTCCTTCTCTGGCAATATATTACTAGTTTTTCAGGACCCAGTTACTAGAGAATCATTCTGTTTCTTCAGTGGTGTCATGTTTCCTTCTCTTCTTACACATGTCACCCCTCATTGATGCCTTTTCTGGCAGAATAGTAATGCCACTACTCACTGGGAATGTGGAGTATCTTAAAACTTCAGACTGAGGGTACCACTTTAGTTCAGAAGGGGTGGGGGATCTGTAACTGTTTTGCCTGGAGAGTGGGTGGCATAGTTTATAGGCAAGGCTTTGATTCTTGGGAAGCATGGTACTGGCTGACCTCGGACTCAAACCTTGTGATGTCTCTGGTTAGCTAACATTCCCAAGAAGTGGTTAACATATGCACTGCACAGGTGCCAGGAAGTACTATTGCATTAGTAACCATTTCTCTCTTCGTTGTTAGGAAACTGATTATGAGGTCTTCTCAGGTTCTCAAAGGCTCTGTGCACCACTGACTGGGAGGCAGTCTGGAGTGGCTCTTCAGCAGTCCAGGGTTAGGTTCTAGCAGGACTTATTGCTCAGGTCTAGCACGCCACAGTGATAGAAAAACCTGGGACTATAGAGATACAATGGTTAGGTATACCCCTTGAGAACCGTGTACTACGAGGTATACCCCTAGAGGACCATGTACTACAGCACTGGCTCTGGGTCAAGATGTCAAAGGATAGTAGCAGTCTAGGGAACTGAGATCTCAGGGTGTGTGGGAGCAATAGCCCTGGTACAACTTTGGTAATAGTGTGTGTGTGATTCAGGTTACTTGTGGAGTACACAGAAATGAGGTCTAGAGTGTACATATATAAAGAACTATATACCTAAGATCAAGGTTATGGATCAGTGTGACACTGCCTCTGGAGTTCCCTAAGATTTAAATTCCAGAGTCCATAGCTATATAGATTTATTGCTTCTCCGAAGTCTGGATTGCAGATATATTTGCTATTTATTATTAGCAGTGGCTCTGGTACCGACAGCATCAGCTAACTCATCAGTGGCTCTAAGGTCCAATGTGGTTAGTTCTCTATAGTTGTGTCTGTTATGTCTGAAGTATGTGGAAGCACACTGCCTGACATAGCTGGGGTCTGGTGTAATGGTGAGAACATAGAAGCAGTATCCCAATTTCTAGGGCATGTATGGTTTTTGGGAGATGGTGTTCAGGGCAGCACAATAGTGTCTCGTTAAAAATGGCAGCTTAACATAAGTCTCTCTGGAAAGTCCTCAACAGTAACATGTACATCAATGGCAAAAGTCACTAATGCGTCTGTGCAAGAGGCTACTGAGGTCTGTATTGGTGAGTACTAAGGGAACATCTGGGAGAGCTGTTGGGAAAATTTGACTGCTACTGAGGTGCCTGGCAACAAAGACTGCTCCAGTCAGGTCATGGGGACCACAGGACTACCTGGCTGCCACATAATGCTTCTGAAGGCTTCTGCCCTTCTCATTGGTTCTTAGTACTCCATATGTTTTACATATGCTGACTTCTTAGGCTGCTGCTTTCTTTTTTTCCTCTTCCTCTTCCTCCTTTTCCTCCTCTTCTTCCTCCCCCCTCCTCCTCCTCCTCCTCCTCCTCTTCGTCCTTCCCCCTCCCCTTATTCTTCCTCCTCCCCCCTTCCCCTCCTTCCCTCCCCCTCCCCATCCCTCTCCCTCCCCTCCTCCTCCTCCTCCTCCTCTTCCTCCTCCTCCTCCTTCCCTCTTCTTTTCTCTACTGTTTTACTGTAGGCTCTAATGTGACTCTTGAACCTTTCCTCAGGTTACTTTTGTTTATGACTGCATAACTGAGCTATTTTGTGTTGTTAGATGATAGCAATAGTTCCTTCTCTACAATCTTGCTGACATCATTTCTTCCCTGCCTCCTCACACACGGAAATGTCAGTTTTAAGGAAATTCTTGTTTTTATAATAATTCCACCACTTCAAAATGATTTGGCTTGCCAGGTATGGTAGCATACACCTTTGATCCCACAGGTAGATCTCTGTGAGTTCTAGGTCAGTTTGGTTTACATAGTAGTTACAGAACTGTCAGAGCTATGTAGAGAGACCCCCATCTCAAACAAAACAAAGCAAAAAATGATTTGGCTTATAAGGTTAATAAACAATTTTGACAATGAAAATTTAAGAATAAAGTAATGATTACTTAAAAACAGACATTGGTATGGCATGTTTTATATGTCACCAATGTTTTGGTTGGAGCAAATCCTGCAATCTAAAAAATTTATAATCAAATAATCCATACTTAAATGACATATGCATACCTGACAACCAAAGAAAAATAGTATTTCCTAGGTCTTCTTTGAAGTTATCATTGAAGAAGCTGCTGGATTCTGGAAAGGATTCCTGGAAGGTTGTGTAGATAGCTTGAGTCAAGCAGTCAGGATACATCTGCCCAACAGAACCATGTTAGCAGATATATATGTATATGTATACACACACACATACACACAAATATATGTATAACAAATGTAACAAGGTCAAAGTATGATTAGTTTGTGACATATATGTTTTCTGTTTTTCTTATGGCTTTCCTTTAGTCATTTTATTGCTTTTTTGTGATTCTAATTGAGGAACATGAGCAAAAATCAGTTACAAACTGAGTCTGTCTGGTAGCACTTTGCAGATATTCCTGACTAAAGGGTAAGGTTAGCTGGGCAGAGTTTGACTAGCTACTTCTTTTTTTAAAATGTAAATTTCAACATTTTTTCTAGAATATCACCAGAGTAATGTATTTACATAATCTCCATCACTGTTTCCTCTCTTCTAACTCCTCCTGTGTCCCCTCCCATTCCCTCTCAAATATACATACTACCTGTTGAGTCTGTTTAGTGCTGCTGATGCGTACTTGTATTCAAGACTAATCACTTGGGATTGGATAACCTATCACAGGGGATGCATCCGTGAGAATGCTGGTTCTCCATTTCAACAGTCATTGATTATTTGTTGCTAGGGGTAGAGCCTTGTAAGAATGTCTCTGTCCACACTGGTATGTCTACTTGTGAAACTCCATCATTTTCCCTTCTCTGTCATGTCTAGAGGACACTGTCTCACAGCAGGTATCCTGGTCGTCTGGCTTTTACAAACTTTCCTTGTGCCTTAGGAGCAGGGTTGCATTGCAGATGCAACAATTAGGGGTAGATACTACATGGTCACTTACTGTCTGTTTTTGATCAGTTGTTTATCTCTGTAATTGTTTCTGTTTGCTGCAAAAAGAAACTAATTTGATGAGCAATGAGAGCTGCATTTATCTGTGGGTATGAGGTATATTCAGAATACAGTTAGAAATTATATGGATTTAGGAAGTTTTAGTAGGTTTAGGGGTCTATGAGAACTCCAGTCATAAGTAACTGTCTTCACTAGCTATTGATTTCATTTAATCTTATGAGCATAATGAAAAGCATATTTTAAAATATTTGTTACTCAATATTTGTAAGATTATATGTCATATCAATATTAAATATTAAAACTATAATCAGATATCAACAAAATCCCAGCACTATCACATTTCCATGGTTCTATGGAGGCCTCTATCTTCCTCTAGTCGCAACCCCAGCAGCTCTCTTAGTTCTTGTGCTATAGAAGAAGTCAGAAGGGACATGGTAGTAAACCAGTCAAGATTTAATTGGAGCAAACCAGAAACCAGGGTATACTCTTCAGAAGAGCAGTCTACAGTGAGACTAGCAGTTCCACCTGATCCTAGCAAGCGTAGGATACGTGGGCTTCTTCTCCCTATTATTCCCTCCCTAGTGCCTCCTCTAGGGTTGGCACTTCTAGGGAATGGCTATGCTTTGCTTGGAAGCCCATTTTACCCAGAATTAAGTCTGCTACAGGTATATGTACAATATGCAGGAATAATTGATTGGTGAAATATGTTAGTGGGTAACATCCTGAAAACCAGCATTTGACCCTTGGAAGCCATGGGGGGGAGGAAGAGCTGATTTCTGAAAGACAGCCTCTCACTTCAGCATGAGCTATGTGAACCCACACTCTTACACACACATGTAGAAACAAGGTGGTAAAATGTGAGACTATTATAAAGGGTTAGGCACCCCTCAAGTTGAAAAGTTCCTTAGGAAGAAGGATAGCACCAATCCACACATGCTTCTCTGGAATGGAAGTCTATGGTTGATTTGATCTGACTTATCTAGCATGGAGTGTTATTAGCTATTGTGTCTTTTTCCTGCAGCTGGGGTCCGAATGAGCTGGCTTATCCAAAGAGACTCTACTGATTTATATCTTGTCAATCAGCACTGTTCCCTCTCTCTACTATTTCAGATGATCCATTGGCCAGCCCCTCTCAAACCATGCTCCTACTTGACAGCCTAGCTTTCAGATACTCCAGCTATTACATTTTTTTCCTTGAGAGTTAAACATCAAGAGAGACCATACTTTTATATTAAAGACATGTGATATCACTGAATTCAGGTAACAATTGATAATCATAAACTAAGACTCCATTTGATTATAAAGTTTTAGAAATCTAGAAGTCCTTAGTGATCATTGTCGTGCACCAACTAATGACCCAAAAGATGCACACGTTCTACTCCCTGGACCTGTAAATGTCAGGACAGAGCTGAAGATGCTTGGCAGATTAGAGCTTTCTAGATTATCTAGGGGATTCTAACTGTAATTACTAGTATCATTCTGAGGAAAGCTGAGCAGACTGACTCCAGACGAGGAGAAGGCAGTGTGACAGTAGAAGCAAGCGTGCAGTGATGGATCTGTAGGTCAGAGAATGTGGTCATGTCCTGATACCAGAAACATAGAGAAATTGAGGATCAACTCCCTGGGATTTCTAAAGAAAACAACATTGCTGATACCTTCATTTTAGACTCATATTCTATTCATCTTGAGTTCCTGGCATCTGTAACTAAGAAAATGAGTTTCTATTGCTTTCAGTAACTAAGTTTATTATAACACATAATGTTTGTAGGAAACTAATATGCTTATTTTAATCAAATACTACTCAAATTTGCTGGTACACATTCCTTTTAGGGCATCCTTAACTTGGGTAGTGGTGGCAGGAAGATGGATGTGTGAGACAAAGAATTCTGTAACATATCAGTGTATCCAGTCTTATGCAGTGAGCCATGAATATCTTCATTACTCAAATGATCACATATTATCAGTGGAACATAAGTTTTATTAATAGTTAAAATTAAAATGTTAACAATGTAGAATAAGAGACTTATCAAGTCTTTTGTGTGTTTGTGTATGTAAAATTATGCTACCTCCTAGTGATTACAAAAAGATGGCTTTAATTTCTTTCCCTGTTGCTATGATAAATATTCTGATAAAAGCAACTTAAAAGAAACATGGCATCAGGTGCTTCAGGGAACTTGTCACATAGCACCCACAGTCAAGAAGTAAAAGATGAATGTTGGTCCTTTCTTCACTTTATGGATTCTAGGATAGCAGCCAATAGGATAGTGCTGCCAGTAGTGGACAAGTCTTTCAAACTCAGTTCCCAGTCCACTATAGTTTTCCCCTACCACACTTTACTTATATGTAAGATAAACCAACATTGAATGTAAATACTTGAAAAATCCTTAAATTTAGAGTTATTGGTATTTTCATTAATGATATTTTGTGTTCTGTCCAACAATGTGAAAACATGTATAAACTCTAAAATGCTTATACACTTCTGATTTACAGATTGCTAAAGCAATAAGATACTTGGATATTACTTTGTATTTGATATTACTAATATTTTTTAAAATTCTCTACATTTTCTCAATTTACCAAAGTAACATTATTTCAATGAACTTTACTTATTAATATAATATAAAATAAATGTTTAGTTTATAGCTTATTCATTGTGTATAATACAATCTAGTTGGTTTCTTTTAAATGGACTAAAAGATTTATTATAAAGTAAAAGAAAAATGATAGTCTATAGGTAAATAGAACAAAACCAAGAATATACAAAGAAGTCACCAATTTCCTAATAAAGTAACTATGGAACTACTGTGATTTTATGATTACGAGTCAAGAGAACACAGTATTTGGGGTAATGGTCATGGTGGTAAAACTTAAAAATATCTCCATTACTTACATAAGACAAATTTTTGTTGAAAGGTAATCAAAATATGTTCATATATTTAAACAAAATATATTTTTCATACACTATGAAGGTAATTATTGTATCTGTTAAGTTTTTACATTTACCTGAAAGAATGCATCCTTTCTCCTTAGAGGTATTTTTATGAAAAGTATGACATAATTTTCTGCGATTCTGTCAAACAAGAAATCTTGATCTCTTTTGTCAGGCTTAAAGAAGATGCATGTATGAAATTAGTGCCAATTACAATTTATATTAGAAAGTTATGTGTATATTATTACATGTAATATAGTCTGTATATAACATATGAGAATATGTTATATACTATTCTTAAAGGGTAGTTCAAGTAGTATAATGCGAGAGGCCATTTGTTTCAGCATTACAGTGTAGTGTTTTAATGGCAGCTCTTTCATTTATTAGTTGCACTACGTTGGACAGGATTACAGCCTAATTTCCTAGATGACAGTCATATATATCTGTCATATCTAAAAAAGAGTAGTAAAATTATACTAGGGCCAAGACCACATTTTACATCATTCTGTATTTCAAACCCTCAGCATAGTGTCTAGAGCACAGAAAGCATGCAGACATCTGTAGAGTGAAGATAATAGCTACTATGCTGGAAACAATCAACAACTCAGTTACTGTCCATAAAAATGTAAACTCTGCTTATCAGTAACAAGAGCATAATTAAAGTGATTTAATATCAGCAATATCATAATAAAATTCCAAGCCTAGCTTCTTTCTCTATGAAGTAATGACAATAATCAGAATCTAAATTCACTGTACAGGAGATGAATTAGGGAGTCCAAACACACAATACAAGCTGTAAAAACAACAATAAAAAGTAAAAATACAAAATTGCTAATTTTCATGGCATTAGAAAACAAAACAACTTGTCCCCTGAACCTTCATCCAGCTGATACCCGGTTCTGAAGATATCTGTATTCCCCCTGAACACCCACACTCCAGTGTCATTCCCTTCCCCACATCCTGCCTTTCTGTGTTTGTACCCGTGTGAATTATGATTTGAGAAAAAATTTTTGAAAAAAAGAAAGAAAGAAAAAAGAAAAACAGACAGGATCAAAAGAAGGAAAACAAAACAAATAGAGATTTATAGATACATAGGATCTTAAACCTAAAATGAATTTCCAGATCATCCGCCTTAAGGCTATCTATTTCAGTGAACCATTAATGCCTAGCTTGATTTTGTACACACAGTCACAGTTCTCTGAGTTCATATGTGCAGTGCACTTATAAAATAAAATGCTTAATTTGGGGCTCACGGTTTGCGAGGGTTAGAGCTCATGATCATAATGACAGGGAGCATGGCAGCAGGTAGCAGCCGAGAACTCACATACTGAAATTCACCCATAAGGAAGAGAGAACACTGGGAATGGCAGAGAACACTGGGAATGGCACCAGTCTTTTGAAAACCCAAAACGACCCAGTGACACATCTCCTCCACCAAGGCCACACCTCCTAATCCTTTCCAAACAGTTCCAGCAACTGACAACCAGGTATTCAAGCATATGAGTGTATGGGGCCATTCCAATCAAAATATCAGTCACCTACTATAAAAAGAAGCTTCTCTGATGAAGGTTGAAGGCTTCACTAATCTATGGGTATAAAGATATACATTATTGAGCAGTTTAATACTTTGTCCATTTAGCAAAGTAATGGTATTAAGTTCTCTTCTAGGGTCTATGACATACCCAGGCATGGGTACTTGTCCTAGTTAATGGTACCAGACATAATTTCCATCTTGTGGAATGGATTAATTTTCTTCTATGATTTTGTTGGAAATACTTGATGTGCCTTCGACCTACATTTCTTTTCCTTCTTCTCTATCTATAGTCCATAACCTTGGTCTTTTTATGTTTCACAGTACCTGAGTGCCCCTTTCATAGGGCATTTGAAAGATTTTTCATTTTCTTTTGATTGAGTGATCTAATTCTTCTCCCTTGTCTTCAAGCTCTGATATTCTCTCTTCCACTCAATTTATATCTTTGGTGAGGTGTTCCTCTGAGCTTATTAGACTTAATGAATTGTTCATTTCAAATTTCATTTTGATTTTCTTCAGGATTTATATCTCTTTATTGTTCTATTTTCATATCTTGTTTTGTCTTAATTATTTCACTTAACCATTAGCTTGTGTTTTCTAGTCATCATTTTGGCACTTACTCTTTTCCCCATTTGCGTTCCTTGAACATATCTAAGATTGCTACTTTCAGTTCCTGATTTTGTGTGTCATCTTAGTTGTTTCCCTGGGGAACATTACTGTGAGGTATCATTTTTTTTTTGAAGAAACACATTGTTTTTGGTTTCATATTTTTTTTGTGTTAGGATTGCATATATGGAGTAGTGTTATTGACTATGTGGTTTGAATATCTGATCCACCTTTGTTGAGTAGACATTAGAATTTCTATTTGTTTTTAGCTAAACCTGGCTCATCTTTGAACTTGCTAAGTGGTGCCTGAGGTTCAGTCTTGGGGACACATGGGGATGTGTAATTGGGGTATCAGAAGTGGTTCAGGCTTAGTTAGGGAAAGCTGCAGCTTGGTAGGAGGTTCTTTTTGTGTTACACATGCTGTGAATATGGTACTTAAACAGCTGTGATTTGGATTCCCAGGGTGGAATTAGATAGGGATGATTGTGCAACCTATGAAGAGTGATGAACAGAATACTGTACACAGTCCTCTGATATGAGCTTTGATCCTGGAAGTGGGGTGGTATTACCAGTGAAGGGCTTGTACTGTCATGTACACTGTCCTCAGATGATGGTGGCTTGGGGGTCACAGTGTGGGCCACCTTCTAGCTTTTTACATCACTTTGGGGAAACAAACTTTAAGCTGGTCAAACAGTGCTTCTTGTGCTACTACAAGAATTTTAGTTCCCCCCCTTAGATTCAGATCCTCACCGTTCTTAATCAGATAAAGGCTCTCTGTCTATCTGACCACCAGGTTCTCTTCTAAATCCTCAATGTTACTGACTTGTAGTAGATGTTACATTCAGGTTACCAACATATAATACCATGTAAAGCTTCAACTTTATTAATCACTATGGTATTGGGTCTCCCTTATTTTTTCTGATTGACGAAGAACCGAGTCCTTTGAAATCTTTATTGGAATCTTAACCACTGTGAAAGAAGAAAGTTTATATAGGATCTTTAGTCTATGAGCAATGCTAAAAAATCACCTGTGTAAAAAATTGTATTAACAATAACAGTACTGAAAAAATAATTGTGTTACAAATCAATGTTTTACACAGTTTTAAAATACTATTTACCTTGAATTTATGTAGAAACCACCACCAAAAGGAGTCATGCAAAAGAGCAATGGAGCAGTCTGAGAGAACGTGGGTTCTCCAGACTTTAAACACCTTCTCCTACGGATAACAAGTTAAAGTGTTACTATTGATAAAGTATTAATATTAATTAATTAATTAATAATATTAATTAAATATTTTACATCTTTAGTGCTAAAATTTGAAAACAATGGAATGTATTTTGGAATGTTTACATAAAATAAATGTAATATAAATGTAGACTGGAATGTTTACATAAAATAAAATCATAATATGTATGTTGCAATTTTATTCCAAATATAACTATCTTAATGATTAAATATTAGTTTTATAGTTGTATATAAGTCTACTAAAATAAATTGAATGAAAATTTTAAGTTATCAGTCATACCAACCACATTTTATTTGCTCTCAAACTACACATGGCTAGTACCTAATGCAAGGATGATGTAGACTAAACTAAGCGCACTCACAATATAGGAAACATACTGTATTTCTCACCTTTTTTTAAAACTTAAGATAAATATCCACTTAGACATGGAATTTTAACTCAGTAAATCTTCTCATGAATTTATCTAAACATTTCCCATAAGCAGACAATTCGCCAAAGCTGGTACCTAAAGTTAAGTGTATTTACCATCAATACTAGAAACTATAAATTTTTACTTAGTTAAGTAGATTCAATAGACCATTTTATGCTCTTATTCACAAGGGTTTTAAATGAATTTCTTAGATTATGTACAGATGTTTCCTTACAGACGTGTCTTGCACATAGTCACCACACAGTTTCCCTCTAGCCAGTCTCTCGCATCCCATTGGTCCCTTTTCTTTTTCTAAATATATCTATATTCTGCATATGTGAGAAAACAAGTAATATTTTATCTGGATCTCTCTCAATACTCTCCCTTGTTGCCTCCTTTTCTTCCATTTAGGATACCACTCAACTCAGTCACCCTTTCTACACACACACACACACACACACACACACACACCCCACATATGAGAAACAATTTTTTGGTTTTATTTGCTTAGCTTAACATGATGACCTCCAATTCAATCCATTTTCATGCAAATAACTTAAATTCAGTTTTTATTATTATTGAATAAAATCCCATAGTGTGTGTTATATGTATATCTATAATATTTTATTTATTAATTCATCTATTGATAGGCATTTAGGCTAGTTACATCTTGGATATTTTGGATAGTACAGTAATAAACATGCATGGCAAATATCTGTGTGGTAATGTAATTACATCCTTTCGTGATGTACCCAGCAGTGGCATAGCTAGATTATATGGAAGTTTTATTTTTATATTTTTGAAGAACATCCATACTGACTTTCACAGTGTCTACTCTAGGCTATATTCTCACCAAGAGCATGTAAGCTCTTACTTCCCTCATCCATGACTGGATATGCTGGTGTCATTTGCTTTATTTGACAACCATTCTGACTGAAAGGCAATGGAATATCAAAGTAATTTTAATTTGCATTTTCCTGGTGACTAAGGATACTGTATACTTTCTCAAATATATATTGACCATGTGTATTTCTTCTTTTGAGACATATATATTTAATTCATTTGTTGCTTTATTGATTGGATGACTTTAATATTTTATGTTTAATTCTTGAAGCTAATTATAGATCTTAGATATTTATCTGTTTTAGATGTTTAATTGGCAAAGATTTTTACTATCCTTGTACACTATCTCTTGATTCTACTAATTATTTTTCTTGCCATGCAGAAGCTTTTCAATGTCATCCAAACCTATCTACAATTCTCACAAGAATTTTTAAATATTAGATTCAATATAATTCAACAATTCCATTGGGAAAATCCATAAATACTGGGGGTTTTTGTTCCTCAGATGCAAGTCAACAACAAGGAAATCTTCCAAATTTTTTAACAAGAAAATTATTTATAATTATTTCTATGAGAGTACTTCTTTTCCACAGGGAACTAACGATATTTCAGTAATATAATATTTCAGGTAATAGCTTCAGTTTATACTTTGCAATTTTTTATTACAAAGAACACACATAGTATATATAAACATGGAAAATAGAAATTTAGACAGAAAGGCAATAATGATCAGCTTTATTAATACCTACTCTCTAAGTTCATTCCATCCCTGATGATCACTGGCCACTGAACTAGTCACACTCCTATACTTTCTGTTTTATATTCAGTTATACTATAGGATGTAACACAAAAGTATGCCAGGACATTTTTTAGGCTTTAAAAGAACACACAAGTCACATCTGTTAGAGCTCTCATATGTTATTTCAGAGTAAAAACAGAATGCTAAGGTGCCTGAGTTAATAAGAGTGGAAACAGAGAAGAAAGACCTTTCATAGTCACATTCCCAGCCAGTAGACACTAGCATCAAGACCCTAGAGATACCAGCACACCAATTGTGGTGGTTTGAATGAGAATGGTCCCCATAGGCCCTTATCTTTGAAACATGGTCCCCAGCTGGTGGAACTGTTTGTGAAGGATTAAGAGGTGTGGCCTTATTGGAGAAGTGTGTCATTGGGAGTGCCTTTTGGGTTCAAAAGCTTGGTACCATTTCCAGTTAGCTCTCTCTGCCTTCTGCTTGGAAATCAAGATGTGACCTTTCAACTTTTCCTGCTGCCATGTCTTTGCTCTGTCATTATGAACTCTAACCCTCTGAAGCCATAAGTCCAATTAAACACTTGTATAAGTTGGCTTGGTTATAGTGTTTTGTTACAGAAATAGAAAAGTAACTAAGACACAAACTCATTCTCTTCTGGGAAAGAGGGTTAGACATCACTAATGTTTCCTTTCAAATTTAATGTTCAAAGAATCAAGTTTTGTTTAACATCTAACTTCTTATAGTTTAAAGGTCTGATCCATTAAAATCATATTCTCAAATTTTACTATAGGTTCAAAATAAATAATGCTTATATACCTCAAAGTTATAGGTTCTTAAAACAAAAAGATAAATCTGTTTAGCATCCAAATGTCTGGGTAATTGTGTCGGTTCACTTTGTTTGAATATAAAGGTGCAACCCTAGGGAAAAAAAAGAGAAAATGTTGTTTAACAAAAATTAATTCTGTTCTTAGTATAGTGGTTACATATACTTTAGAAGACAAATAAATATTTAACTATTACTTAACCAATGCAATTATGCTATTTTATGTTATTACATTAAAAATCATGTATTTCTCCTAGAAAAATTATTTTAATATATTTTGTTTCTGAGAAATTAAATTTCTCTACATACTTGTGAGCCAATATTTTAAACATAATGGAATCATATTTCAGAACATATTTTGGCAAATAATCATAAGATCAAATATTTTAGATTGTCCATGCATAAAGAAACAAGAATAGGGTAGCACAGAAAGCCTGTTCCCAAGTCTCTTTCTTAGAGCACAAATTTATAGTTATATCTACATCTATAGCATTATAATCATTTTCTTGGCCCTACATAGTATACTTGATATATAATCCAGCAGTAAGAAAAATTGAAATACCTCTATATTCTTCTCTGTCTCCATTTGATCTGAAAGCTGGAAAAATTCAAAACAAATTATTTAAAATTATAAATTAAAGGATTTTTATATAAAATTCTGATAAACCCAATAAAATATTTACAATTCAAAATAATTAATAAAGCATTAGTTCACATATTTCATTCATTAAATAATCAAAGGAATGAATATATAGATACATTAAAATCAATCTCAAATGACTTAGGAGGATATGACAGTATCAAGGCTCCAATATTGTGTGTCAAAAAATACATTTCTAGATTCTCAAGACAGAAATGTTACTCACAAAAGATTAAAAGGACATTTATAAAAACATTATCAGTTCTTAACTGTAAACTATGGCATTTATATTTTTTATGAAAGTACACTTTTGAGGGATAGTAAAAACACAAAGCTCATACCGCTATCTTCTTTGGTCTATAGTGTTCTTTTATAAATGCCTTGTAGCGTTCCAGGTTTGGATATGGCCCTTTAAGAAAAAGAAATTGACAACAATGAAATAAAAAACAAGACAAAAACCAAAGACATTCTAGATAATTTCAATAAATCATATACAAAACCATTAGCTGAAAATGAACTAGAAATTTTGACAAGCCACACACCCTTAATAAGTAATGAAACTATTATCATGTCTCCTTTTGTTTTTCCAAAATATCAAGCTCTATCTTACATGTCTGTGATACTTCTGTGTCTAATGTTTTATCTTAACTGATATCTAACAAGCAAGTCACATTGTTTTTCAAATAGTTCAGCTAGTTAGATTTGGTACTTAAAACAAAACAAAGAGAAGAATGAAATGCAGAAACCAACCCAAGACAAGAGAATACAGAATTTAATAAAGAGGACACTGCTGATGAAAACTCAAATCGAAATAATGCTGCAAGTGGAAAACTCTGTAAGCCACATTCAAACATCTGTGGAAAGCCTCCCCAGGAAAAACCAGACAGAGAAACACTGGGGTTAAATGACACGGCGAATAACGTGAACCCCACAGACATCTACAGACCAACTCAACCCAACACTATGAGTACTGATTCTTCTCAGCAGCCCACAAGCTCTCTCTAAGATTCATCAGAAGACAAATCATAAAGCAAGTCAAAACAAATAGAAGCCTTTTGCATGGCTCAGCGACAGGCATAACGCAGGGGGGACTATATATGGAATAGCCAGATCTTACTATTGAAAAGAAAAGCGAAAGCGGCTATCTATACCTAGCACAGTACAATCAGAACTCCATGGGGACTGTAGGGGACAGATTTGTCACCACTGGCTGTTCTTCCCATGGTGATTAACGGTGGAGGGCAGAGGTGGTCCCCTTTAATCCCCACCACCACCCTTTATTGCACATGGACTTCAGTCTTTAAAGGAAAAGGCCTTTTTCCAGTCTGTCAATCATACTGGGAAAATGCTCGCCATGCAGACCTTCCTGGCAGTGTTTTCTGCTCGCCTGACAGCCTGTCGTGTTTCTTTAGCCGGATCATCAGTGTAGATAATCAGCATGCTTATACGTTAATTGGGAGGTGTTTTTCTTCGTTGGGATGACTGGTTGGGGCTATCTATTGTAGAAAAGATGCGGAGAGCTGCCATCTCCACCATGGCGGATGGTGGGGGTCTCTGTGCTAGGAGACTCTAGACTGCCTCCAGCCAGCCTCCAGTGCTGTAGAGAGACTGTCCCCGGCCTGAGGCACTCTCCTTGGGCCCTTTTGCCTCTCTACTAAGCACAACACTAATCTTTGTTGCCTCAGACCTCGGTTCAAGAGCCCCTATTTATTTCAGTGAGAATGCATGTCCCGGCCGCCTAGTGGCGTTGCCTCTGTCCTTGTTTGCGTTTCCTTCCTCCCTTGCTGGTCCCCACCCTCCTGAGAGTTATTCTAGTGGATCTTACTCTGCGCATCATCGTCTTTTTGGTTTGTGAAGGCAGCGGTTAAGGGCACAAAGACAGCCATGGGGACATTTATGTAAATATGTTTCATTGCCACACTGCAGCTGAACGGTGTGTAGTATTTTCCCAGTCAGCTTTGCCATACTGACGTCAATCATTTAAGAGAAATTATTCAGATTTTATTTTTATATTCGTGGTAATAAAACCTAACCAAAAGGTTTCCTGTTCAGAAGTTTCCCTGACTCATCCCAAGCTATCCGCTCACGTTAACAGATTAAAGTGCCTGAAGCATAACTCATTTACCTGTATACTAAAACCCCTGTTGTATTGATTTTTTTTTATAATAAGCCTTTTTACCTCTGTAAAAAAATATATATACAAGTGTATGATGTACATTTTAGTTCTTAACTTTTTTTATGGTTTCTAATATGTATGACCAATGTAGCCATTGCTTTGAACTGTACCATGTAAATATAAACACATCCTATCAGAAAAAAAACAAACAAACAAATAGAAGGATGTTAAAATAACATCCTGTATTTATCTGCCTGTAGTGGAATAAAGCCAGATATCAACAGCAAGAGAAACCAAAGAAAGTACACAAACTCAAGAAAACTTCAAAAAATACTACTGAATGATAATTAGACAAGAAAAGGATCACAAAGAAAAAGAATCATAGATATGAATGAATTGAAAACAAAACATGCCAAAATCTATGGGACACAATGAAGGCAGTCCTACGAGGAAAGCTAATGCTAAATGGAGAAAAACTCCTTACCATTAAAATCAGGAATAAGACAAGAGTTTCCACTCTCTCTGCTCAATACAGTGTTTGAAGTACAATGCAGACAGAGACAAAAATAAAAGTCATAGAAATAGAAAAAAAGAGAAATAAAAAATTCTTATTTTCAATTGGATAGGAAAAATGTTATACAAATACTAAGGATGGAAAAATGACCACTGCTTGAGGACGTACATCTAACAGTTCATTTCTTCCACACGGAATACTAAACATGCCCATGGGCTGACCTTGACCATATGGATCAGCTCTCGGTTACTACACTGAACACTACATATACCCATGGGTTAACCTTGACCATGTGGATGAGCCCTTGGTTGCTCTGGTTTCTACATTTGCTATTGATTGAAGCTTCCTTCTTACATCATCAATTGGTACATCTTGCTTCTCTGAATCCTGACGTTTTGCTACCTCTTTTCCAGTTTAACAAAGTTTTTAACTGTCTTAGGCTTGTTCTAGTAATGCTTTCTTTCAAACCTCATACTCAGGTCTATCTAAAAATATTTACTAGGTTCTGTTGGATGATGAGAGTTTTAAACATTTAGTTTTAAAATATTTAAACTTTGGCATTTCATTCTTTCTGAGAACATACATAGAAGAAGCATTCATAGACAGACAGACACACACACACAAACACACACACGCACGCTCAGACACACACATACACACACACACACACACACATCACTGACCATTTACCTTATTCACATAAAAAATAAATCTTACATTTCTTGGAAATCATTCTGTCACTTTCAAATAATCTGGAGGCATGGTGTTGCAAAAGACGTGAAGATTCCTTTAATTTTGACTCCAGGCTGTCAACGATTTCATAGAGTCGAGGAACATTGGTCCACAAATAAGAATAAATAGAAGTATATGAAAGAGCCTCTTCTAGTTTTTTCAGAGTGTCTTCCCATGCATCATCATCTCTATAATGAACATCCCTGGGCCAATAATCCTGCAGAAATACACATTTTACATCATCTAGAACACATTCGAATCAAAGAGTTTAATGATCTAAAATTGAAATTTATTCTACAGCATTATTTTTATTAAATGTTTGAAAAATACATTTCAAATAATCAAAAACCTCACAAAATTTGCAAGAGATTTCTAAAAACACGTTTTGAGAATCACTTGCATAAGTTACTACTTTGATGACACATTACCTTTAAATATATTAGTATCTGTAAAAAAAACAAAAACAAACAAAAAAAACCAAAAACTGAAAGCATTCTCCTATAAAATAGTGTGTCAGATTTTTCTTTTTCTTTTTTTTTTTTCAAAATAAAATTTTATTTGAATAAGGCTTTATCAGTTCTTTTCTCTTTCTCAGATTTTTCTAAGGTATAAATAAGACAGAAATCTTACGGAAGTTCACCTAACTGTATGCACAGGGTTAACAGGATTAACAGTCAAACACTGTTGTTGAGATAAACTGGACATGACATAAAGCCCACTGAAAGGAAACAAACAGGTGCAAACATTTCCCATATTGAAACAGTCTTGAATCTCATTTTTCTTTGCACATTTGATATTTTTAAAATGTGTGTCAGCAGAGAAATGAGAACAGGAAGTCCTACTCACCCAGTTCTGAGACTTTAAGAATTCTTCAAAGCTCGTAGGGGGCTCCTGGACTTTCTAATGAACAAAATCAGTCAATTGCATTAAATCTGATTGTACACATAGCCCACTAAAGCAAAATATGGTATTTAAGTTAGAACTTTTAGAATTTGTAAGATATTCTAAAACATCCATTTATGTACTTCGTAAAGTCCACACACTTTGAAAAGGGATAGAGGTAATTTTGCTGAATGCTTTCATTTCCAATTCTAATAAAAGTTCCAAGATATTTTTGAGTTGTTGTGGAATGTATCTATAATAAACCCAGAAACAGAAATTTAATAAATATTCACCTTGGTGACAGAAAAGCCACAGTAGTCAAATTTCGAGAATACTCTGGAGGCTCCAGGCTAACAACTCATAGTCCCATTTGTATTGTGTAGTAGTTTCTCTGAGCACTGAAAATCTACTCAACCATAGATGAATTTTATCAAGATAAATCTGAGTCCTTTTCGTGGAGACTTTGCACGCAATCCTCCTTCAGCTTAGATAGTTCCCTGTTTAAAACTTTCTCTTCCCAAGTCCTTCTTTGCCTATTTAGCTCTCAAAACTATCAAATTAAAAGTCACTTTTAATTGGAAGATTGAAAATTGAAGACCAAACTGATTACCCAGAAAGACTTGTTTTAAAACAAAGCATCCACAAAGACAAAAACAGGTGCTTTTTTTTTTTTTTCTAAAAAGGCTTCAATCTCCAAATTTACAAGTTTCTTCATGGCAATATTGAGCAGATTCTTGTCTCTAGGGAGAGAGAGACTATGTACATCAGAACTGAATCCCATAAGTTATACACAGCAGCTGTCCCAAGCATGTAAGTCTTGTTGTATGCGTCACTTTATGAATAGGTAAGGAGATAAATGGGAGAAGTATCTAGATATTTGAAAAATAATAACATGTCCAGATAATGAAAATGTAGTGAGGAGGAGCCAAAGAGAGGGAGAGAGAAAACTTTGGAAGTCCTTAATAACTAATTAACATACATTGATAATGGCTGAAAGAATTGTCATATTTTAGTTTACTAAAACACTTAACGTATATTCACCTATTAAATGGTCCAGTTTATAAAATCACAGGAGTATACTCTATAAAACTAATTACACATTTGGAGTTAAATAGAATATGTCATTCTCTTAATATTATTTAAAATATATGAATATTATTAAACATGCATTTAACAATGATAGTAAAACATATAAAATATCAAGAACAGATGAAGTCAAATATTAAGGAAAAATGGAACTCTGGGGCTAAGCAGATAAAGAAAGAGACATGAGGAGTAGGGTATACAAGAGGCTTAGAAATAAATGAAATAAATTTAAATGTTTTCTTTTCTTTTAATGGTTATCAAACTATTTCAATTAAATTTTTGGTTATGAACCTAGCCTTTAATGGCCATCTCTCCAGCCCACTATTTCAATTATAACCTGAAAATAATATCACATTTTACTGGAAGGAAAGAGAAAATGAATGGAAGGCATGAAACATGCGTAGGGAACTTTTAGTCAACCTCTATATGAAATTCACAGTCTATTTACCTCATATGAAAAGGACTTAAGAAATGTGAGGTAGACATACATCTGTTCTCATAGAAGGGGAGAGCTTCTCTGTGGAAATAATAAGGAAAAGCCAGACCATATAAAAAGCATTCTTTTCTAGGTGTTAATGAAAGTCCACAGATACTGATAACAATGATGGGCAAGTTTATAATGCTTCATTCCAAACTTATTAAAGCTCTAAACTCCATGCACAGCTTATCAGTACCAGGCTCAGGTCAACAGCAGGGCAAGCCCATGAAGCCAGCCCAGCTGATGACCTGAAATCTGGAAAAAAACATACTCTATAAATAAGCACAGATCCACAACAGCTTCCTTACCTGAGGGACAGGTGTCTCCATCCACTGAATCTTCCCTTGACCTGCCATGATGAAATAAATGTGGAGATGAAGAGAGATCTGCTGTGCCTTAAATCTAAGTATGTTTTTAGGGAAAAAAACTGGAAAGATACCCCAATGCAAAGGCAGATGACTTAAACACCCCCTCCCGCCCCATATCACCTTCAAGCCTCACTTGTGAATTTTGTCAACAAAGCCAGAGTGGAGGAAGAGTGTACACAGAGGAAAACTAGACAGACTGATTGATTCTTACAGTTTAAAAATCAAACTTCACTTCAAACTTCCTCTAGCTTAAACATCAAGAAAATATTAGAAGTAATTAGAAGTGGTTGGAGGTTGAATAAATCCCAAATGAACTCAATCCAGTTAAAGTTAGAGCTAACCCTAAAACTCAACTCAACTCAACTCAACTCAACTCAACTCAACTCAACTCAACTCAACTCAACTCAAAGAAGATTCTAGAGCAGCCTTTCATTCTAAGAAAGTTTTGTTCAACCCCTTATTCTAAAAGCCAAAGAAAGAAAAAGGCTGGTGCTTTCCAAAATAAAAACTACTAAATCTCAGTGTTCCACAATGACTGTTACATAATGTTCAATGGTACAAAATTACAGAATAACCTAAGGAAGAATAGGATCCACAATCCAGGGTAAATGCTGCCAATATAAATCTGGTAAACAGACAAGGGTGTAAAAACTAGTGTACAAATATATTAAGGATGTTATAGTATAGGCTGAATAACAGTGCGTGACGAAATGGAGTGTTTCAGATAGATCTGGTAGTAAAGAACAGTAATCCCAGCTACTTAGCAGGTTGAAGCATGAAAATTCCAAGTTTGAAGTCTTCCTAGGCAATTTAGTAAGACACTGTCTCAAAACAGAAAGTGGACACCTTTTGCTCAGGACTATGACTCTATTTCTTAGATTAGGCTTTGTTGGATTAGAATAAGAGATTAAAGCTCTTCTGAATAATTCAGGCTCTACTCTTGGGCAAATGATACATGGTTAGCCTTTCTTCTTTTATGCATCATGGTCATACTAATTCCTACCATCCTGAATAAACTTTTCCTCATAGACTTATGGAACTGGAGTAACCAAAATAAACAGCCTTGGGCTTCTGAATGTGACATTATAACTATAAGATCTATCCATGATGTCTCATGTAATGAAAGAATATGATTCTTGTTGAGTAATACTGTAGTGTATAATACTTTCAAAGTTTATTTGTCTGTTCCACTTTTGGGGAACTCAAGTCAATTCCCACTCATATGTTACCCCTCATGTCAACATGAACGTTCTTGTTAATGTCTTCTGGCATACAATCTCTAACTCATAGTGGGATGGCAAGGTCTGCTGGAGTGAACACTGCCAAAGAGACTTCTAAAAACGGTTGTACACTGATTTTTATTTTCTACAGAAGTGTGTGAAAGTTTCACAAACTACATTTTTGCTAAGAATCTAGCATTTAAAAATATCTCTGTAGATTCAGTAATGCCTTTTGCCTTTTTGCCTTTTGTTTGGTTTTGGTTTTTGGTTTTTGGTTTGTTTGGTTGGTTGGTTTGTTGGTTATCTGGTTTTTTTGTTTTGTATTGTTTGAGACAAGGACTTACTATGCTGCCCAAACTGGTCTTCAACTCATGATCCTCCTGCCTCAGCCTCCTAAGTAGCTGGGATTACAGGTATGTATCACCACATGAAAGAGCCAGGCATCAATTATTAGTCACTTAATTATGGGGCGACATTGTGTGAAATGCACCAGTTAAGTAATCTGTCATGCCAATAGCAGCATGTGCTTACACAAAGCTAGATAGGATGGTACTTAGCACACACTATTGCTATATACTTGGCATACATTACTGACTGGGTAAGTGGCATGTGTGCATGGCTGGTCCGTCATCATCACAAATGCGAGTAATGCTTACACGGTGATATAACACAGTCACACGTGTACAGCCTTTTCAGATTGGCTTCCTTCAGCTAATAACGTGCATTAGAGGATTTTCATGCCTCGGTAGCTCATTTCTAAGTATAACATTTTAATTACTTTGAGAATCTCATACAATGCATTTTGATCATATCCAAAAGGTGTTCAAAAAACTGAAAATAAAAAGCCTGTGACTCAGAGCCTATTATTTTTTTCTAACTAGGAACAGTTATATGGATCTTTTATCAGAAAGATTTGTCATATTAAGCCATTGATATTTTGTGGTTTCCTGGGATAGCTGAAAGTTCACTATGTTAGTTTATCTTACAGGCTACACATTCTTTGATAATCCTTTTGGAAGTGTGAATTATGTTCCTTTTCCTAATATCTAAACAGGCATAAAATCTCATTTGCAAGCAAAAGAATAGGAGAGAGGTAACACTTATTTTGGGGGGATGGGTCAAAAAGGACAACCAATTTCACTCTGCTTTGCAGCATTCCATTTGGAGTCTGTCCTGGTTGTTTTTGTTGTTGTTGTTTATTTGTTTTGTTCTTTGTGGGTTTTTTGTTGTTGATGCTTTTTGTTTTGTGTTGTTTTATTTTTGGTTGGTTTGGTTTTGTCAGCTTGACACAATTAGAGTTATCTGGAAGGGGGAACATCAACTGAGAAAATGCCTCTATCAGATTGTCTGTAGGCAAGTCTGTAGTATACTTTATTGACTGGTGATTGATGTGGGTAGGCACAGGTGGCACTGCCCCCCCACCCCAGATAGGCAGTCCTTGGCTGTATAAGAAAGCAGGCTGAGAAAGCAATAGGGAGCAAGCTAGGAAGCAGTACCCCTCCACGGCTTCTGTCTTGTTACTGCTTTGAGTTTCTGCTTTGGTTTCCATCAATGGACTATGAACTGGAATGTGAGCCAAATAAACTCTTTTCCTCCCCAAGTTGCTTTTAGTTATGGTTTTATCACAGCAACAGAAACTCTAAGACAGACTCCCAGCCTAAGCTAATAAGTCGCTACTCTCCTGCCTCACTGTGAGGAAGATGAGGCTGCATAGTGAATTTATTAATAGGCATCCTGATAGTATACCCAGTCATTCCATGTGAGTTACAAGAGAAAAAGCCAACTATGCACTAGACCACATGGTTGTTTCAAACTACTGTACTTTGGAGTAATTAGTTACACAGACATAGCAACCTAGAACATTGGTAAATAGGAATGCTTGCCATATATATGTATATATGAGCATATGTATATATGTACATACATGCAGCTGAAAGTTCTATTGTGTAGTACTTTACTAAGTATAATGACTTTCTGCCCCGAATAATTTCATTAAAAAGTATGATATGAAAAAAAAATTAATGAAAAGTAATTTCATTAAAAAGTAGTTTCATTTAAAAAGTATGGGGTTTTGTTTGTTTTTAGACAGTGTCTTCCCCAGTCCAGAGTGGCCTTAAACTTACTATGTATGCTAGGATGGTCTCAATCTCTTGATTTTCTTGGTTCCCCAGTACAGATCTGAGGTATCACTGCTAGCTCTAAAGTATAGATTCAACTTAAGTTTTTATTTTAAGTATAGATTCAACTTAAGTTTATAAATAGGTCAAGATGTGAAACAACATATCCTATGCAACATCCTGCCCAATTGCAAATACCTCCCGTACTCTAACCACCCTTCAGGATGTGGCTTCATAGACTCCCCCAGGCTCTCGAGGTTCCTATAATTGGTTATAATGTTTCCTGTACTACCCACGCTTAACAGTGTAAGCACTTCCAAGGCAAGGTGTAAAGGCCACAACAACAACAATGCTAAAAATTGAAAGGGCTAATAATTAAAAGTAAAATGTCCCATTTTTCTGATGTTCAGGCCCTCACTGCTTGGTGCCTAACTTAGTGACCTGTGACATAGTGCACACATAACTAAAGCTTAACCCCTAAGGCAGGTAGACATGTCAATGTGGGTCTCAAAGGAGACTCTCAACTGTTTTAGCATTCAACATATATTAATATCATTCTGGTGGCTCTCACGTTGCATTTCAAAAGGCTGGTAGCTTTTTTCCTCTCTGTTTTGATAAGTGAAGGTATAGGGTGGACTACTGACATTCAGAATGTGTTTGTTCTGCATGCCTGTTTCTTGCAACCTTTTTGCTTAAAGTCTAGATTCAAATATTTATAATACGACTTCCTTCTACCTCACTCTCACTAGTTCTGAAATTCCTTTTCTGTATCCAAATCAGGAATACCAGTTTGGCTTGAGCTGAGGTCTCTAAAACATTAAGGGAACTATTCAGTCTTTCTCTGTCTCTGTCTCTGTCTCTGTCTCTCTCTGTGTGTATGTAGGGGGCACCATTGGACACACGTGTTCCCTTTCTGCTGGTGCTAATAGCCTCTGGGACCTCACCTCAAACAAGCAGTCTAAAGGAGGGGAAGCGTTGTTATGAGGCTCGCCTCCAGCCCCCTTTAAGCTCCATTCAAGCATGAGGTGCCACTCATGCCCAGGCATTTCCTTTTAACCGCTGGAAATGGGCCCTACTCCCTCCTCAGGGTGTGAGCCGGAGAATTCACGTTGACCATTGTCTTCTGTTCTATTAAAACTTTTATATAAATTCTGGTGTGGTAAATATCAGTGTACTGGCTTGTCATCTGTGATTCCACACAAGGCTGTTCTTTTTCTCCCATTAGCTAATTTCATAATTCTCCACTCATTAAATAAATTGCTTGATATATGACAGTTTTGTTTCTAATTTAACAACTATTGTTTAGGCTTCTTTGAGGCGGGCATAGAAAAATAATCTAATCATTTATCCACATATATTAGACTTCAAAGCATAAAAATGTAGTGGGTGCCAAGTCTGTGTGTTGTACGCAAAACAAACAATGCGTAAACGGTTTTCCTAAGAAGTCTACCAAGCATGAACTAACAATCACCTAAAGCTACAAATCTGAGATCTCTTAAATATAATATTTGGGGAGGCAAAGTGGAGTTACTAGCTCCTCACTAACTCACAGAAACTACTTTCGAAAATACTGTTCCCAGTTCCGCAAGAGGCCCACAACGGGCGGCACAGCAGGAAGCGGACGGTTCCTTTAGGATTGTTCTCAGAGGAAGCGAAGGCGGGACTTCCAAACGAGTTCCTCTAGCTCGCCTACGGGATTCTTCCTCTGAGCATGCGCCGTGATCAGCTTCCCCGTAGCCCTGGCAACCGCCAGGGCCCGCCCTCTGGTGTCCTGCGGAAAGCGCTCCGGGCGGGGCGCGTGGAGCAGAGGCGCTACGGACCGAGAGTTCGGCGTGGTGACGGTCGGCCTTTCCTCGGGTCGGGTGGCTGGGGCCGGGGACCCGACCGACCCAGCGGAATTCCTACTGCGGACGATCACGGCGTGTGGTGTGCCTGTGAAAAAAGATGCGAATGGTCTGGGGCCTAAATGAATCCTTATTAGGCTTCCCAAGTCGGCGTTGCTTACTTCTGGCACAGCCAGCTCTTTGTGAGCGCCGATCTGTAATTCAGGCTTTGAAGTGGTTTCCGGGTGGTCGCCGAAGAAGGGAAACAGATGTGTGCTGTTACCGTCAGCCGATAAGCAGAAGCATTTCTTGTGTCTGTTTCTTGGGAGTGTCAGACAAGTATAGTAACACTTTGCATTGCTAGTTCCACGAGGTTGGGTAAGAATGGTGATGCCTAAGATTGCAGCATTTCAGGGCTGTTTAATGATTGAACTCCAAACGCAAAATTTTACAAGATTCTGCTTGTCATATAATGTGTTCTGTGAGAAGGAATTCTGGTTCTGTGTTAAAAAAAAAAAAAATGGCGGTGGTATCTTGTAAGGTGCTTTTTTTTTTTTTTTTGATATTGTACTTCATCAATTCTTAGTACTTCACAAACAAATATTGAAAGCAATCTTATCTGGTCCACAGTTCAAGATAGGAGAAATTTAAGGAATGTTCCATTGGAAGGCAAATCAGCTTAGTGTAGTGGAAAAGGTAGCCTTGTGTCATGCTGTGTAAAGCCCCAAAGTTGAGTAGAGAGATAAATCCTGGATGCCTTTTACAGAATGGTTTTAATTTAGTTGACAAGTATTTGAATCTATCTAAAAGTATAAAAAAAAATCAAGAACAGGTAAATCAAAAAGAATTCTACTTTTGCCAGAGGAAAGCCCCATTGAAAAGTGCCTCTAAATCAACACGTTTGTCTACTAAATATGTGGACCCAGTGATAATCAGTCAGAAGTGTAAAAGATTGTCTTTGTGTGAGTTAATAAGGAACTGAGAGTCTGACCTTGAGCCTTAAAATAGCTGTTATGTGCAAAGTAGACAGGATAAAGCTGCATGAATATCATTATTTTTAGAGAAATTGAGTAGAAAAAAAAAATTTTTTCAGCCCAAGTTGCAGAGTAGACCATCAAGATGCTAGTTATTTGTCAGTTCCCTAGGAATCACCATTGTTTAATAATTTTTTCCAACCCCTGCCCGCCAACTCCAGTTGCATCTCCCAGCATGTATTTGATGTTAAGTATAGGTATACTTACATGCTTCTGTATCCTCCTTCTCATTGTTGTCATACACACAAACACATATGTAACCTGTACATAAAATATTTAGTGTGAAAGTTCTTACACGATTTTATCTTTACGAAAGAATCTGAAGGGTATATACTTTTGAATCATTTAGAAGTCTAAGAGCAAATATTTCACTGTATGGAATATTTTACAAATACAATTGTCAGTAGCTGTCTCAGCATTAGCAGATGTGTTATGGTTGACTATTGGTTTAAGTTGGAGAGGAATATACCTTGTGGAACATATCTATGTTAGGAGGAAAGAATGTCTTGATTTTCTTCTACTCTCACTCCATATTCACAAAGAATACTTGTGAGGAGATTTTCTCCCCAGCAGGAAGTAAGCAAGTAATTGTATGGTGGACACCAGCTGATGTCCTCTAATTAAATTCAGTCCTGGCACTACTGGAGACAGTGTCAGAATCCACAGGCTGACAGTTCAGTCACAGAGATTGTCCCAGCCTCTTCCCAGTCACAAGCTCAGCCTTCAGAATTCCCTTCCAACTAGCTACAAGCTGAGATTCCTTCATCCCTTCTTCAGATGCATTTGGCTTGCTTGTGTGGCCCACAGATCTCAGGGAACACTATGCTTGTATTTGATGGTTATTATAAAGGATATTTTAACAGATTTAAATATACAGGCAGGTAGAAATGGGGAAGGGACTCAAGCACAGGTGCTTCCTCCCTGTGCTGCTGAGGTGTGCTTCCTTACAGTGTGTGAATTAGTTCGTCTTTGTGTGAGCCCCTGCATAGTAAACTGTCCAGAAGCTCTGGGAAGCCCTGCTTTGGGTTTTTATAGAGTGTTTTATAGACTTAATTGCTAACAGAGTGAAAGGGAATCATCAGGGCCTGTTAGGTTCTTTGGCTTTCCTCCCTCCAAGGTATAAGGCAGAATCCGTTTTGAAATGAGTATTTGTTCATCTATTATTATAGTTGAACAATTTAAAAATTGAACTTTCTACTACCCCTCCTGAGGAAAGGAATTTCAAACCAGAAATCGGGAAAAATGAAAAGATGTGTGTGTGTGTGTGTATTCATAATACCCAACTGATTTTACTCATACCACTACAGCCTTTCATATTTTTATTTAGATTCACCATGAGAGTGTCATAGAATGCCAATTCAAAGCTAGAGTCCATAGTTGAATATATTTCTGTATAATAATAACAGAAAGTCTTATATTCTTAATATTTTTAAATCAAAATTGTTATATTTGGAACAAAATGGGTACTATCAAAGTGGGTACTATCAGTGTCTAAATTTTATTTTTGCAATAATTTTTAATATAGATATTTCCATTTTTAATGAAAGAATAACTGAAATTGCTCTTTTGAGTTGGTTGTTTTTAATTTTGTATTCTCAAGCATATCAATTTAGTGAGTTTTGAACTTAGTAATATTTGTTGATAAGTACTAAACCTAACAGTATAACTTATATTGGGCAATTTTCTTTGTAATGACAGTACAATGTTGACATTTTATTCCTTCTCACTTTAATTTTTGCAGTGTACCTATGATACATGCTTTAGAAGCAGAACGTTTTAGTTCAAAGAAAAAATGGCTCTCAGTCCATCTGTAGTTCCTCAAGAAAGTGAAGAAAATAATGCAAACTGTGTAGAAACAAAACAGTCACAAACTGTTTCCATTGCTTCAGAAGACCCCCTTCAGAACTTATGCTTAGCGTCTCAGGAAGTTCTTCATAAGGCTCAGCAAAGTGGGAGGTCACGGTGTCTCCAATGTGGTGGCTCAAGGATGTTCTACTGCTACACATGCTGTGTCCCAGTGGAAAATGTGCCCTCTGAGCAGATCCCATTCGTGCAGGTAAAGTAAAAAAATGCATTTTAAGAAGAGACCGTATATGTATATGTATATGTATATGTATATGTATATGTATATGTATATGTATATGTATATGTATATGTATATGTATATGTGTGTATACATATATATATATATACTGTTCCAGCACCACGTCTGCCTGCCTGCTGTTATACTCCCTGCTATGATGGTCACGGACTCTAATGTTCTGAAAAAAAAAAGGAATGTAGATCAGAAAGAAAAAAAGGAGTTGTATTTATAGAGCTACTATTTTGATAGAAAATTAACAACAGGATTATTTTCTAAATCAGTGGCAAGGCCAACCATTTTAGAAGTACTTAAGAAAGAATTTGAGCAAATGTATAGTTTCCTAAAGTGTATTTTAGTGCCTGCCTATAAAAATTTGACATGTTAATATGTATTAAGAGAAATAGGAAATCTAGACAATGTTGTTTCTAAATTCTACTTCAGTTTTAAATAAACTTTCAGCATTTGCTTTCAGATATCCTGCTTGGGAGTAAGGATTAAGTCCTTCTTAATCCTAAAATTGTCTAGAGCATTGTGGTGATTTGAATGAAAATGGCCCCATCAACTCATATATTTGAATACTTGGTCCCCAGGGAACTTTTGGGGAAGGATTAGAAGGTGTGGTCTTATCAGAGGAAATGTTTCACTGTGGGGTGGGCTCTGAAGTTTCAAAAGAACAATTACCAGTGCTCTCTTTCTGAATCCTGGTTGTGTATCAGAATATAAGCACTAAACTACCAGAACTGTGCCTGCCTGCCTGCCTGCCTGCTGTCATGCTTCCTGCTATGATAGTCATGGAGTCTAATGCTCTAAAACTGTTACCCCAAATAAACTTTTTCTGTAAGTTGCCTAAGTCATGGTGTATTGCCACAGCAATAAAAAGTAACTAAGACAAGAGTAAATCAGACATATCTTTATTTGATGCAGAATTTGAAAACTATAAGACTTGAATAAAGATAAAAAAGAAAACATCAGAAGGGAAAAGAAAATCTCAGCCTCAGCAGCCCTGTTTGAAGACTTTGCTTTGGGGCAAGCACTTGTGCCTTCCAGCTAGTGGTGATTTAATATAGCTGAGTCTCTTAGCAGGAACTCGGCCATCAGAGTACAAATGGTCATCCTGTTGTATATTTCAAAGTAAAATATCTTCCAGACTTCCCTCTGGTCTAGTCAGTACTGTAGAGTTTACTCTCCCATGTCAGTATTTAATATGATTTTCCTGTCAAATGTATATGAACCAGTACACAAATGTAAATTCCCATTGTTTGGTGTGCTCTGGTATCACACTGCCAGAAGCCTCAGACTCCTTGAGGACTGGTGATATTCTAGGTTGGGTCCTGAGGTAATGGATTTTGTGTAATTGTCTTATAATTGGAGATTTTAGTCCATAAAACTTACTTTTTATTACACTTAAAATTAGTCTACATGATTTGAAAAATTCATTAATAATATTTAATTCTGTGTTTTTTGGTCTTGTTTGTTTTTTATTCTTTTTAAAATCAGTTCTGTGCTCTTGATGTAAAGTTGATCGAAGTATTAATGTTAGCCAATACTCTAACTCTACTCATTAGTTTGTTAGATAGTTATTTTAGGAGTAGAAATCTCTGTCCTGATCTTTGTCATTCTTCTTTCCTGCTCCCCAGGGATTAAGATAAAGCTGACCTGCTATTTAGAGGCCCAGGGGAAAGGGAAGAGAATGGTATCTGAGGCAGTGCTGTAAGCAAAGTCTAGGGCAGTGCTCATTCAGGAGCAGACCTGTGCAAAATAATCCCCGAACGGCCTATTTAAATGGTAAATTTCCTACAGTCAGAAATTATCATGTTGGTTTCATGTAATTGACCCTATGGCCTCAGTTAGAAATTGTCATGTTGGTTTCATGTGATTGGCTCTATGGCCTCAGAAGTTGTCATGTTGGTTTCATGTCATTGGCCCTATGACCTAAATGGTGACTGGGTATGTGGAGATGAAAGGAGAATGGTGGTGTTTGCAGTCCTGATGGCGGGAGGGGCTGTTGGAGGTGTGCCTTTGTGCCTGCATCCCTCTGAGGTATAATGTTTATACCATCTTGTCCTCGAATTGTCCAGAAAGAAAAAGAAAGGAAACTTGGTTTACTTTTTAGTGTACAGCAACTGCTCCTTTAAAAAATAGCCTTGGGGCACCCGCAGGGTCAGCCTCTTCCTTTAGGCCCTCTGTTGTTCTTCACACTGCAAAAAAAGTAACTTGAAGTGACAGCCAGCCTGTGGGAAAGGAAGCAGATGGGAAACTAGACGACCTTTGGATAGTGGTGGGTCGTTATCTTGATTGTGGTAGCTAGTTCACAGGTATAATATCTGCTAAACCCTAATAGAATGTAGACTAAGCACATGTGTGGTTTAAAACAAGAAAAACATTTTTATGTTCCAGAGTAAAATGGCTTCCTTCTAGGATCTGGTCATGGAGATCTTACCTTCTTTGTATGAAGTGGGGAGTCTTGGAGATAGTAGATGTACTTACCAAACAACAGAGTCTGAATTGAAGAAACTTAAATAGTAAAAACATTTTAGCTCAAGAAATCCAAGATAATTGTTATTTTTGAACATAAGTAAGACATAATATGTAAGGAAAATATTGGGCAGGTATTTTCGAGATACAACTTGTATCAAATATAACTTGAGTGGGGTTATTTGTTGTGATAAAGCCCTTTAAGGTTTATTCTGTTTCTGGCTTCTCTGTTGATAGCTTAATTTGTGCTGTGAAAATATATTGCCAAAGATCACCAAATTTCAGGTAACTTTGACTTTAAAAAAATGTATGAGGAACAGGATTTAAATTTGAATTTTAAGTCTGAAGTATCATTTAAGCTTTCATTTCTTTTGAAAACAGCATAAAGTAAATCGAGAGTTCATAGGAATTTTTTTTAAAATGTCCTTGGCATGGATGTGAGGAACTGAGTACGTGTATGACTTAAGTAAAGCATCCCTGGGTCGGTGCTCTGAGAGGGTTGCACGTTGTGTGGGTGAAGTCATTGCTCGGGTACGTGATCCACATTGAGGGAGTGATTGGCATTTGGTGAATCACTTACTATCTCTGGTCTACACAGTGTGGCCTTCAACTGTAAGTGTGCTCACAGGAACTCAGTGTGAGCTTGGTGTGCTTATTCAGAGGTTATGTTGGCACAAGACATCATAATGTGATACTTACTTTGTTCATTTGCCTCTTCACTTTAGCTTCCACTAAAGATTGATATCATCAAGCATCCAAATGAAACAGACGGCAAAAGCACAGCTGTGCACGCAAAGCTCTTAGCGCCCGACTCTGTGAACATTTACACATATCCATGCATTCCGGAGTACGAAGGGAAGGATCACGAGGTGGGCGCCTCAGCACTTACCTCCTCATGAGAACTTAATTGAACGTGATTTAATATCTTCTTAGCAATCTCTTGCTGTGTGTATTTAATGCTATTTACCTTTAAATAGGTTTCTATTGTTTGCCAGTATCTTGCTTTTCCTTTTCCCCCCTCAGAATTCTCCTGTCTCTATTGCTTGTACATAGTCTAATTTGATACAGACTGGGAATCTGAGTTAACTATTGGAATATCTGCAAAGAAGAAGAAAAAGACCGCCTCAGAGGAGTTTTTAGAACTTCTCACCATTGAGATATTTCTTATAGTTGCTTATGTGTCTTCCTTGGGCGTACCTAGATTCTTAATTCATATTCTAGTTAAAATTGTCATTTTGGTGGGATGTTAGTAGCCTTCTTATTAAAAAATTAACTGTAATAGATCTCAAAAAATTAGTCTTTAGGTGCTTCAAAAACAAGCATGTAAACCCATTTTACTTTTTTTGAACAATATATAAATATATATATTTCTTATTTAATATTTTAAAAATATATTTTATTTAATATTTTAAATGCACAAATATATACATATATGTTGATATATATTACTTTATATCTATATCATTTAAATTTATTTAGAAAGTCATATTTATAAGTAATATCTGAGTTTGGTCTAGTAATGTGTTCGTGTATCCTTCTCTGGTCAGTTAAATACCATTTATTTAATTAAATAGAACACACTGTTACAGTCTTGTGTAATTTGAGACAGTTTTCCTGTGTGGTCCACACTAGTTTTCTCAGCCTTATAGATATTAGGCCGTCAAGCATGGCCGTCAAGCACGGCTCACAGACCCAACTCTAGTGTACTATTTTATGCTACCGTCACTAATGGCTGGGAAAGCTGTCATACCATTTCCTCTCCTGCCTATTCATTTTATTTTTCTTTATACAAGTGGAAATGGTATTTATTCATTGAGCAGTTTTCAGTGGTTGCTTTTAAAAAGTATCGTATATTTTGTGTTTTGTCTGTTTGACTGGCCCTGATCATATGTCCCTACATCTCTAGAATTATAGGAGTGTAGCACCACGTCACAGAAGTGAGTCTTCATTTGTTTGTTTGTCTGTTTCTAAATTTGGCATACTGTTAACTTGGCTTTGCAGTTGGTGAGAAACTTGTTTTGAAGTAACTTCTCCAGGTAGTATAATGTGATTATATGCTATTAAGAATGAGCAAAAGCTCTACCATATATGTAAGAAAACAAATTCCAGAGTCAACCTAATGCTTATTCCTTTAGACACTCAGCATCTCTTTTTCTTAGAGTTTTAAGTCAGAGTTTGTTGAAGAACACAGTAGCATGTAGCTAACTTGAGTTTCTTTGTTTTAGGTTGTACTTGTTTTTCCTGGGCCTCAGTCTATCTCAATAAAAGAAGTCTCCTTCCATCTACAAAAAAGGATTGAAAGCAAAGGTAGAAACAAAGCTGACGACCTTGATGTGCCACCTTGTAAACTCAAGAGGACTAAGGCCGAGGAAGGCTCTGATTTGAGTGAAAGCATGTGCAAAGGGCCAGAGTTGAAAAGAGTTGTCTTTATTGACAGCACCTGGAACCAGACAAACCAGATCGCCTCTGACGAGCGGCTACGGGGTAAGGATGGTGTCTTCACCTGCCAACCTTTATTTAGAAAAACTATGACTCCCTCAAAGTAAAGTTCTATTCAATGCTCACATTTGCTCCATTCCTCTTCTCCCTTTCTGTAGTGTGTGTGTGTGTGTGTGTGTGTGTTTATGCATCTATGTCCATTGCTGGTGGAACCCTTCTAAAGTAAGCAGTAGGCTTTGCAAAACGGCTCTCTAAATACTAAATAGATATGTTAGAAATAAGGACACTCCTACATAATAAATGCAATGCCATTGGCGCTTCTAAGAGAATTAGCAGAACTTGTACAATATCTAACCTACAGCCTGTCTTCACATCTCTCCAATCAATATAATAATGGCTTTTGTAGCACTTTCCCCTCTGACACAGCATTTAAACTCAGATTTTTCGATGCTTGTATATCTTTAGTTTCTTAAACTAGAGCAGTTTCCTTTTTTTTTTAATTTAAATTTTGGTAACATGGTCAGATTGGTTGACTGAGTGTCTCGTCATGATAAACTCAGTCTAGATATTTTGGTTCATATACTTTTTAGATTATGTAAAATGTTCACGCATGTATGTGTGTCTGTGTGCACATGTGCATGTAGGAGCCCATGGAGAGCAGAAGAGGCCATTGGATCCCTTGGAACTAAAGTTACAGGCAGTTATCAGCTTTCTAATGTGGGTACTGGAAACCAAACTTGGGTCTGTGCATGAGCAGGAAGTGCTGTTGACTACTGTGCCGTTTCCCCAGCCTCATAGTTAGGATACTTTAAAGTAAGAATATGTCCAGGTTTGTCCAGTTTGCATCTGTTGTTATTGTCATTACTGATAGTAGGTCCTTTCCCTGTCAGTTCATTAGTTGTTCAGTCGAGCACATCATGCATGTTGAATTCAAGTTTTATACTTACTGTTGCATTCAGTCAGGAGACATACAACAAACTGTCCCCTTATTTAACTGGATTACTTGATTTAACAAGAACTACTTTATTAGTGTGATGATGGCTAGATCTTTGCACCATAAAAATCTCTATTCCTTTAATATACAGGAATAATGCTTCCAGGGTAAAGACATTCTCAACAGAGCTTTGTATTTATGGATCATTGCTTCAATCAGTCATTAAATTGAGAAGCAAAATATGGTGACAGTTTAGTCATGTTACTTCTTCATGTGTTAATTAGCCCTTTTACCACTGGCCTCAGGAGTTTGTAGTAGTACTGGCCTTAGGAGATGCAGCAGGGTATCTTAAACCTACTTTGACTTTCTTCCTGCCACAAACTTGGGTTCATCATTTTCTTAAAGACCCCTGGTTCATTTTACTGGGATCTGATATTAGAAGCTGAGTTATGTCAGTTGATTACTATATGGCATTTCTTCAGGGGACAGAGCCAAGGAAATACATAGGTGTGCATATTGTGAGGTCACAGTGGTAGTTTCAACTCCCTTTAATATTACAGGAATTTCATTTGTTTTACTTCCATTTCTATGTCTTTTATAAGAAAAAATTCCACATGCCTACTTGTTTATATGTATATATGATGCATGTGCATATGTGTATGTACATGTGTTTGTGTATGTAGGCATATGCATGCCACTGACTCTATGTGATCCTCAGAGAATAAATAATGTTGAATGTCATCCCTTGCCTCCCACTGTGCTTCAGACAGAGCCTCTAGCTCACTGCACCAGACTAGCCGACTCACAGCTTCTGAGTGTCCTCCAGTCACTACCTCCATCTCATCAAAGGGGTAGGGATTGTAGCGGTGTTTCTGCCTTTGCCTTTACCTGGATTCTGGGATTGATTCAGGCCCCCAGGCTGTTGTGCTGCTCACTGGGCCATCTTCTAGCCCTGGATGCCATTTCCACTTGAGTAACAACTGAGCTGTCAGTAACAGTTTAAGTTCCTTTACTCGCCCGAGTAACACAGCTGGTAATATGCAGTCCAGGGGCTCATGCTGTTACTGTTGTCTCTTTGTAACTTCCTCTGTGCTTCAAGCATTCTCCGTGGTTTCTCTAAAAGCTTTGAGATCTTTCCAGTTATTGAACAGCTTCATGATCAGAAGGCAAGAGAAGCACTCAGTAATGCATGGCTGCCAAAAGGTCCCTCAAGAAAGGAGGTACCACAACTTATTAATCACTTCCAAGACAAAGGAAATACAAAGTACATTTCAGTGACTTACTTAACTTGTTACCTCATTAATTAGTCTGTACCTGTGGGCCCTAAGACTTTGAAGACTTCAATGTTGCTGTCTACTAGATGATCCGTGTTGCCCTCTGCTGTGGATGAGTAAGAAGTCACAAGCTGCCACAGCCCCTCTCCCCCTTACTACAGCGAGTCATTCCTCAGTCTGAAGATTTGTCTGGGATAGTTTTCTTATTACTACCTTATATGGTAATTACTAAGTTCAAATGAAAGAATGCAAGTAAAAGTCCTTGAAAACTCTATAAATAGAATTATTCTGCTACTATTCAAAGTCAGCTTGTTTAGGTTTGCCTAAAATGAGATTTGTACAAAAGATTTGTTGTTCCTCCCTAATTCTCATAAAGTGTGCATTTTACTTCTGTGCTAATTCATAACCATGAAAAGCAAGTCCCTACAGGTCCTAATTAAGTTTCTGCCTCCTCAGGAATAATTGGAGGACTCACTTCATACAGTGTTTTCCAATTTCATGTATTTTTCTACAGTTTTCAAAGTTTTATTATTTCCTTATAGCCAAATAGAATTCCATGGTATACTTGCTGTATTTTCCTTATCCACTGATCTGTTGATAACCATGTAGGCTGACTTCATTTCCTCACTGTTGTGTAAACAGCAGTGATGAATGTGGCCGAAAGACTCTGGTGTGATAAGAGGCCTACTGAGTTTATTTCCAGGGCTGCTGTAGTGAGGCTGTGCATTAGTTCCATTGTTAGTGTTTTGAGAAACCTCCACAGTGATTTCCAGAGTGACTACACAGTTTACATTCTCACCAGCAATGGATAAAAGGTTTTCCCCTCAACTCCTCACCTTGTGGAGACCTCTCACTTGGTTAGTTAATTTATTTCTAGATATCTGAGTTGCTTTGCTTTGGTGTGGTTTTTGAGACAATTACAGTGGAATATTTTCCCCTGATTTCTTTCTCTGCAAGTCCATTATCGGTGTATATTAAAGCTACCAGGTTTTGTATCCTTTGCTGAGTGTATTTATCAGACCCAGAAGTTTTCTAGTGGAGTCCATGCAGTGTTTCAAGTGTAGAGTCACATTGTCTGTAAAAAGCAATAGGTTAATTTCTTCTTTCCAAATCTCATCCTCTCCGTCTTTCTCTAATTCAACTGCTCTAGCTAAAACTTCCAGAATCATATGGAATAGGAATCAGGAGAATGGGTACCCTAGTCCAAGATTTTAAAGGAATTGCTCTGCTTTTCTTTGTTTAGTATGTTGGTTAGTTTGTCATATATAGCTTTTATCATATTGTGGAATGTTCTGTCTGTTCTTACTTTCTTGTGGACTTTTATTATAAAGGCATGTTGAAAATAGTTAAGGGATATGCTGGTTTAGTAAAGAGATTTTCCTCCAAGATCCATGACTTCACTAGCCTTGGAAAGATGACTAGGTTTTAAGTATCAGGATGATTCTTTAGTGGGCTTAGTTAAGTCTGATTAGATAGCTATTAGTTACCACCAGGATATGGGTGCCACCACGGTACCTTTAGGATTATTGTGCTATGCTGGTTGTTGTTGTAGTTCGTAGACATCATAGCTGGGTAGGACTGTTGGTTGCCTCACTCGTTTGGAAGCTTGTATGGTGCCTCCTAGTACCATGAAAGCTAGTCTTCAGGGAAGAAGCTTTTAGGCCTGCTCTGTGTCTGAAGTGCATGGTGTCTTCAGCAATAGTGCCTTACCTTCCGCTTCTGGGGAGCCGCCAAAGGCAGTAACAATACCTATAACATTTTTGAGTCTCTTAGACACATTTACCAACAAAGACACATTTACCAACAACAACTTAAAAGTGGGCTTCTCCTGCCTGATGTTGGGCTTTGTAGGATCTTTGGCTCTCGGAGGGAGCATTATCAACTCAGGTAAGAAAATTTCATATCAAGTATGTATGTATATACCTACTGACTTGTTTAGACATCCTTACAGTCATTTCGCCTTCCTCCCTCCATGTCTGCATTTATCTCCCTCCTCCTCTCTGGTGAGAGCTTGTAACAAAATATAAAGGAAAAAAAAAGAGTGAATAAAAATGACAATTTCAGGAATAAAACCATTTTATCCAATAAATTAAATCCTTTGTGCAAATGGATAATGAAGTTCTGTCAACAAGTCCAAACTTGAAAAGAAGCTGTTAGATAGAAAATAGCAGAAGAGAAACAGTGAGGTAGAAGCCTCTCCAGACTGCTCAGTTTTAAATGTGTCATATAAGGTCTTAGTCTCTGGGAGATGAGGTATGTACACAGTCCCATTCTGTGCCATGCATGTGTCCTTTCTGTATGTACCTCCATGCATTTAAAATAATACTGTTTATAGTTGGAATAGAAGGAACTTACTGTACTTTAAAAAAATCCTTGAAGCAATTAAGTCATCCTTGTTTATCAACACATATTATTGTACCAGTTATTGTAATTGTTCTCAATAATAATGTGATTGAGAAGTATTTAAATGTTCCCTTTTTTGTTTGTTTGGCAGAGTTATTACAAGTTGAACTGAAAACAAGAAAAACTTGCTTTTGGCGCCATCAAAAAGGAAAGCCAGATACTTTCCTTTCCACAATTGAAGCCATTTATTACTTCCTAGTAGACTACCATAGTGCCATGCGGAAAGAGAAGTACCGAGGACAGTATGACAACCTTTTGTTCTTCTACTCTTTTATGCACCGTTTGATAAAGAATGCCAGAGGCTCTGGAGAGAAGGCCAGAGCGAAGCTCATCCAGTAGTTGTGCACACCCCGCTGGTGCTCTGCCGATGCTGAGCGTGCCGCCGAGCCGTGTTCACTCTGGGGTACTGCTCATGCGTGATGCCCACGAGAGGACTCAGGAAGATCCCAGCCTTGTTCATCTTATCATATTTTTTTAAAGGAAAATTTGAATTTTGGCAATTTTTAAGAGATGATCCTGATTGAAAGACATAGACCAGAAGCTGTTTGCTCAGTTTTGGCATATCTTATTTTTACTATACATTTTTAATATGCTGTGTTACATTTATGTGATTGTAATTATATGTGATTAAAGAGAATCTTATCTTTTTAGTTATACTCACCCTTACCTTTGGACTTAAATGAAGTTAGAATCTTTTCGGGGGAAAAACCGTAATTTGCTTAAAGTTGGTGACAGAATTGGCAGAGGTGAGTGTGCTGTGCTGTCTCTGTAAGTCCACAGTCTCTCCTGCTACATGGCCTTTGCTCTAGGAGAGAACTGTGGCATCACGTGGTCCTGCCACGCACGACCCTGTTTGGCAAGGGGTCACATGGCCCAACAGGACCAGGTCTGTTTTGATGTATGAGGGATGCTGTAGGAGATGGAATTTATTTTTCAAGAGTGAGTGATATGGGGTTAAAATTCATGTTTAAAATGCATCTAGAAATAAAGGTAAGCTTGAATTGATTGAAGTAGGGCAAAGTCTGGATTAGGGCAGGGTGAGGAGTATGCTAAGGTCAGACTTTCCTGAGCCAGATCTGTTGCCATTTACCCAGCTCTTCAAACCATCAAAACGGTTGCAAGGTTGAAGGAAAAAGAGGAGGGAATAGTCTTATTACTCATTTGCACGTCCCACGGCGGTCACAAGGAGGAAGGCCCACATACTTCAGCTGAGAGTGGTCAGTCTAGTCCTTCCTAAAAGCAGAGGATGCCTGTAAACATACTGAATTGGCTGTACTTGTCTTATTCCTCTTTGGTGTGATAGACTCCCTGTGTCATGGCCCGTGAACCCTTTTGTTACTTTGAAGTACCTCTCACTCTGACTCGCATCATCAACATTTCTAAGATGCTGTATTTCTATTTTTGTGGTTTGGCTGTTGACATATAAACATACACGACTATGCTAGCCTGCCAGAGCATACAAGATTGCCTTTACCATCAACTGACAAGACAGCCACCTCCCTGATTCCTGACGTGTGAGCAAAGAGTGCATTATGGCACTGGCATGTAACTGTTGAACAGCATTATTGTGCCAGTAGACAGCCTATCTGTGGGCACCGAATCAGATGCAGCTCAAACATCCAGGAAGGGTTTTAGCCCCATTATTTCTTAGGCTCTGTCCTAGCTCCTTTTTGTACTTGCAGGGCTTCTGCACAGCAGGCTTGCAAGATTCCCTGCAGCTGCCTAAAGGGCTTTGGAAAGTAATCTGTAGTATTAGTGAAACTAACTAGATCAATGGCCTAGACATGTCTCATAAACTCTTCTCCCTTCAGAAGACTGTTTCTAGGCACTAAGCCTGCTCATCCTGACATGACCACTTGGTTAGGCAAGTGCGCTTGCCAAGAGACTGGCACTGTCTCTTCATGGCCTCCATGCCACAACAGCAGATGCTCTCCAGGAATTTGTCAGTTTGCATTTGATTTTCATCCTCGCTGGTTTCTCTTCTTCCCGCTTTACCACCCAGGAGCATTCTAATAAAGTTACAAATTTAATCTACCCTCCAACTCTTCCAGGGAAGCCAGCTAGTTTAGGTGGGATTTGGTCAGAAAAGCAGACATCATTTAAAGTGTTAGCATAATCTTTAAACAAGTGCAATAAAGGAACTGGGGCTTTCCTAAAGGTGGAGTTACTGGGGGAGGCTGCAGCCCTGTGAGTCTTCAGCTTCATAAGCCTCTTCATCACTTTTCTCACATGTCTTGGCTTAGTGACAGGTCCTTCTCAACCCATTTGAAAGCCTTAAAGAAGAATTAGAGACTTTGCTTGGCTGCTTCTTTGATGCCATGTTAATTTGGTCTTTGTCTCAGCTGTATCTTTAATGATCACATTTTATTTGATAAAAAAAAGTTCATTTCTGATCCCAAATCCTGTCCTCTCCTTCCACTGAGTTCCACCTGTATGCCACCCATCTCTGTGAGCCTCTGTCCTTACAGTGCTTTATGTGATGGAGTGACTAACAGCTGGCCTCCTCCAGATCTCCCCAAATGTCACAAGTACAGTAGATACACTAGGAAAACTGATGTCTTCCACATTATGGAAGGATGATGTATCAGAGTTTGGTCTCAGGTACTAATGGTTAATTGGCTCCAATGAAAAGTATTGCTAATCATTTGATAAACTTTAATTGAAGACCACAGCTAAAAACAGTCACTGCCCATTTGTAAGACTCATTTATCAGCAGACAGTGGATACAGTCCTCACATGAAAAACGGGAGGAAAAGCACAGAATACAGAGGAAAAGACAGGTGGCAAACAAAGGAAACAGACAGTTGGCTGTCTTCAGAAAGAACGGATTTATTTAAAAATACAGTTTGATAGTATGTAGTTAAAAAAGAATCCTAGAAATTGAAGAACTGCTGAAGTAATTCAATAGAAAAGTTAGAAGATAAAATATTAGAATAGAAAATTCTGATTTTTAAATATTTAATGTTAGCCTTGTTACAAGTTGTAATTGAGACCGTGGAGTACCTGCAAATTACTGAATTAAGCATACACAGCAACCTGAAATGTAAAGAGGTCAGTGCTTTGATTAGCTAAACACTTTGTTGGAAAAGGTTGGAGACTACATACACAACAGTGGTAAGTTTACAAAAAATAAGCAACATCAGGTGGTAGGAAAATCCAAATACTCTGTTAATCAGTTCATATATTCAGGTTATTTGAGTTTCCTGAGATTGTTGAGAGAACCCAAAGCCCTCAAATTTTTTTAATAAAAAACTTTATGATTATTGTGTGCATGTGTATGATTAGCAAGGGTGAAGGTATGTTCCTTAGCATGTGTACTTGGAGGTCAGAGGATACCCTTGTGGAGTCTGTTCTACTTTCATGTGGATTCTGGGGATTGAAGTCAGATTTGAACTCCAAGCATCTTTACCTATTGAGCTATGTCACCAGCCCTCCAAATTGTTTTTAACCATAACATTTTCATATCCTTTGAGACTCTGAAAACAATTTTATTTTATATGTTGGTTATGGTAAGTACTATGTAGTCACTACATATTTATGATGGGATATTGTGTCATGGAGAAATTTGACTCGAATGCTATGTTTATACCCTCAGTTGATTGATCAATGTCAATCAATAAATATCTTTATTCAGTAATTTTGTCACTAGAGTTAACTAACTAGTCAACAAGACAGTTTTGGCTCTCTTTGCTATAGCTGGTTTGTTTGTTTGTTTGTTCGTTTGTAAGACGGGATCTCACTCTAGCTAAAGCTAGCCTGGAAATCACTACTCACCATTTAGTCTTGAACTATCAGCAGTCTTTCTACATTAGCCTCATCAGTGCTGGGGTTATAAGTGTGAGACAGCACACTCAATTCTAAAGGTCATTTCTAAATCTTGTACAAGGTTGGTGGTTTTTTTGTTTTGCTTTGTTTTGTTTTGCTACTTAAGAGATCTCTCAGAAGGAAAAAAAGATGGAGGATTAATCCAGGAGGTTCATTAGAATAATGGTGTTCTAGAGAATGGGGATTGTAAGGGGCAATTTTAAATTCCTAAAACACTACACAAATCCTTAAAAGATAGAAAGGAGAGGAGGAAGAAGAGAACGAGAAGAATAAGAAGGAGGAGGAGGAGGAGGAAGAGGAAGAAAGCAGCAGCAGCAGCAGCTAAGGCAAAGAATTTTAGTCAAGGATTGAGAACATAGTTAAATTTACCCTAAACAAGCAGCAGGCCACAGGCAGGGCAAAGTCAGCATGCATGGAAGGTCTCAATACAAACCAAAAGACTACAGTGATGTCTTCAGAACTCAAGTGTACAGTGTTTTACTTGGATTTCATGTTCAGTCATGCAGTCGATTGATTTGGATATACACAGTCTCAAAGTTTTATGTATCCTTGAGATGAAGATGCTTAGGAAAATCTGGAGGACATTTTAGAAAGATGAAAGAGAAATCCCAAAAGGAGGAAGAGAATCAGGGCAGTGGAAGGAGGTTTTGAGATTTATTCATTCTCCAAAAACTATAGGGTGCCTGCTATATGCTAAAGTTTCATGTAGGTGATCAGTATAGGATACCGAATTCTAAGTACTGAAACAAATCAAAAAGAACACACTGACTAGTAAACTAGTACATGAGAGATACTGGTTAAATAGGAATGCTCCTGTGAAAAATAACACTGACCAGGGGCCCAAATGAAAAGTGGGTGAACCATGCTGCTGCTGAGTAACCACAGAAAGGGAACGCACAAGATCTCTCTGGAGGTATTTGCAATGTAGCATATTTGAGAATAGACTTGAACAACATGTGCCATGGAAAAGTAACAGAAGATCACAGAAGTCTTGGCAACAGAGACCATGGTAGACCAAAGTGGTCTTGGTGGGCAAATGACTTTTACTGGGATTACTAATAAGAGCATGGATGGGTGGTTATCTACAGGATCAGGGATGATTCAAAAGCAACTACATCACCAAAAAACTCATCCTAACATAGGTGACAACTGAAGGAAGCTGAAGCCCTGGAGAGCTCTGCAGGTTGCTGGTGGCTGGACAGGTACAAACAATACATTTTTATCATATGTTCCCTTCCTCCAAAAAGCCAACAACAGCAAACATGAGCCAGTTTTGTGTTTGCCAATTATTGCTGTGCACAAGGCCTGCCCTGTCCTAAAGGGAGTTAAACCAACTGGGCTGACAATGTTCTCCACAAGAATCACAGTACCTTGTACAGGAAGCCTTTCAAATAGTCAAGGTAGTGCAAGTGGCTCCCCAAACAATATAGATAATAGATGCCTCCCTGGAGCTAAGGATGGACCCCTATTGCTGATGATGACACCCATGTAAGAAAGAGGACTGGGCTGATTAGCACTGGGTCTGACCTAACAGCCTTTCCTGCAGTCTACCTTCTATGGTTCCAGCAACCAACCAATGGATGAAAGTAATTAAACAGTCCTGCATGAACCATGGCAGTTACCAGCATGGAGAGATGTGCATAAAGATGCAATAAATAGCGCTTACACGGACTTAAAGACATCACTCAACAGGAAGGAAGTTAAACCTGTTCTGGAAACCTAGCCAGCTTCCCGGGGCTAGTGAGATCATGGACCTTACTAAAGATTCTTGCTAGTCCAGCATAATTCCTAATAACATTTTAAGTCTTATCCATATACCCACAGTTAAGTGTAGCTATCACCCCCTCATTAAAGAAGCCTCTCTTTACAGCAAGTAGGGTCCATCATCAAAAAACACAGCTGAGTACAATGCAGAGATAACAGGTCTTGGGAAGGCCAGCCCCAACATATATTTATAACACATCTACTGCATCTATAGTTCAGAGAACACAGCAGAAGAGGCAGTAGCCTTGTTGGAGGAAATATGTCACCATGGAGGCAGGCTTTGAGGTATTATATGCTCAAGCTATGTCCAGTGAAGCTCCAGTCAATCTCTGCTGCCTATGGATCAAGATGTAGAACTTTCAGCTCCTTCTCCAGCTCCATGTCTGACTGCATACTACCACGCTTCTCGCCATGACTAAACCCCTGAAAACTAAGCCAACCCCTATTAAATGTTGTTATTTTAAAGAGTTGTTGTGGTCATGGTGTCTCTTCACAGCAATAGAAACCCTAAATAAGACTGAAGTTCTTGTTTAGGGTATGTATTGCTGTGATAGGCCTGAGCATGATTTTTATTTGTTGGAATGTGGATAGGACTTTAGATTAGGAAAGAAATGGGCCATCTTAGTAGGAACATGGGAGACAGTGATGCTGAGGGTGATTTGAACCATGGGGGCCTGGCTCAAGTTTCAAAGGAGAAGAATTTTAGTATGTGGCCTAGAGACTATTCTTCTGATATTTTGGCAAAGAATTTGGGTGCTTTTTACCCTTGTCCAAAAAATAAAAAATAAAAATCTGCCTGAGGCTAAATCAAAGAATTTTTTTTTTATTCCATTGGCACAGGAAATTTCGAAACAGCCTGGTCACATGGTCTTTTTTTTTTACTCTTATGAAGAGCTATAATGGAAAAAAAAAAGCAAGCTGGGCAAGTAAAAGTACAAAATGTACAGATTGGAGCGAAAAGGGGCACCAAGAAGTGGGAGGAGTTAAGTCCTGGGCTCAAGGGGATAAACAGGTTAAACAGAGGCCTGATGTTAAACAGAATAAAGGGAGTGATGACCTCAGAGCAAGCCCCCACCTTTGAACTGTGCACAATGCAAGGGCTTGATCTCAAAGAAGACACACTTTTGCTAGACAACAGGCCAAAACTCTGAAAAAAAAAAAAAGCTGCAAGCTACATCACCTTCCTGGATACTTGTTCCTTGTGTCCAGAGAGCAGCAGACAAGAAAAGAAGACCCCTGCCACCTGTGTCCCCCCATGTTCACAGATGTGATGAGTATTCTTGCTTGTCAACTTGACTACATTTGAAACTAACTCAAACCCCAAAACGGAGGCCACACCTCTGAGGGACTTTTGCTTAATTTGACGTAGAAAGATCTATTTCTAATCTGGATCTTTGAGATAGGAAGTCTTTAATCCATATCTTTTGAGCTGGGAAGAGACATCTTTAATCTGGATCATTTGAGCTAGTAAAACCCACCTCTAACAAGGACCACACCTTCTGCTGGAAGCCTATATAAGGAATGAAAAAAGGAAGCTTTTGCTCTTTGTCTGTTTGCTCTCACCTCAGTACCAAGTCCAATCCTTCACTGGCTTTAGAGCCTACTTCTTCAGGATTCCAGCATATACCAAAGATCAGCTGAGACATCCAGCTTCATGGACTGAGAAACTTCTTATTGGACTTTCCATTCATAGCCATTATTGGAGTAGTTGGACCACAACCTATAAGTCACTCTAATAAATCCCCTTTCTATATATACAGAGAGAGATTCACTCTATAAATTTTGTTACTCTAGAGAACCCTGACAAATACAACAGGGATGGTTGAACCTTAACACAAGGAGGTTAGAGTCTTGTTCATAATGGGGACAGTAAGAAATAAAGGTTGCACTTGAGCAGGGATTATAATCCATTGGCATGACAACACCATCCTGAAAAGGGCACGGTAGCCTGACACTCAGGCCTTTGAGGGAGGGAGGGTGTGAGTTACACGGTGGCCACCAACGGAAGCTGAAGACAATGAACTAATGCTGAGAGGGAAGCAAACAACTAATGGTGTAGTGAGGGACCAACTGCCTCGTTGAGCCTGACTACAGAGGTAGCACTGGAATCCAAGCTCCACATCCTCTAGTGTGTACACAATCCTGACTGCAGCACCCAGCATGGAAGCTGGTCCTTGGATCCTCCTCCTAAGTCCCCATCAAGAAAAAAAAAAAAAAGGCCCTTTAAATTCTTTAGAAACTGCTTCCCAAGCATAAGGAAAAATAAATCTATATTTATGAGGGGTGGATTGTGGTAAGCAAAGCTATATTTCCAGATTCATTTTCAAGAAAAGACTCACTGCACAGCAGCAAGGAATAACACCAACAGCCTGCAACTACCAGCTCCTTCAGAGCTCCACATATATTTTTTAAGGTTCTGAATGGAGGTGTCTTGCATAGGTACTTTCTCCTGGCATATTCCTCCTCCAAATGAAGGATCATTTAATGAAAATCCCAGTGCCAGGTGTGGGATACCTACCTTTAACTCATTGGTCAGGAAGGCCCAAGAGGCTACAAAACATGATAAACTATTGTCAGTGCTCCTGGTTGCCCACCAGAATGAGGTCTTAAGAACCTTATGGTTGAAGACACTATATACTTGAGTTTCAAAACATTGAGAACTAGAACTCTGCTCCCTGCTTGCCGGTTTTCATGGTGACAGTTTTCATGGTGACAGAAAGTGCCAAGTGAGCTGCTGGGGCTGAAAAATCATCTAGACTTCCACCGAGCTGTGCACCTCATGAGTTGCAGCACAATAGTGGCAACTATTGTGGGAATAACCAAGTGCTTTCTGACGGACTTTGAGATCTGTTTCAGAAAAGCAAACTCATGCCTGGCCAAGACACTGTGGATGAGAAGGTCAAAGGCCCTAGGGGAGGTGCTACTACCTTTATTGCTTTTTTTTAATGGATGTGGTTTCAAACTGTCTAAATATTTCCATCTATACCCATAGATTAGTGCTGATATCAACTGTTGTCAAAGAAATTTCTTTTTGCAACAGATGGAGTT